TTGTCTGGGCCTTGTTGTTGGTCAGTAGGACTCTAAAACCACACAGACAGAAGGAATTGCATTGTCTGGGCCATGTTGTTGGTCAATAGGACTGTAAAACCACACAAACAGAAGGAATTACATTGTCTGGGCCATGTTGTTGGTCAGTAGGACTGTAAAACCACACAAACAGAAGGAATTACATTGTCTGGGCCACGTTGTTGGTCAGTGGGACTGTCAAACCAGATGAACAGAAAATAAAAGCAATGATAGATTTCCCATCACTCCAGTGCGAAGTAGGAGTAAGATCATTTCTTGGAATGACTGGATATTACATAAAATTTGTCAAATACTTAATGTATATTGCAGAACCATTATCAGGCATGTTTACATCAAAGGAGCCAATGAAAGTACTGCAGATAAAGACCTGTGTTGATGCATTCAGAGCATTGTAAAGATGTCATGACACAAGCGTCTGTTTTCATCAATCCAGACTTTAGAATGCTATTCTATCGCCAAACAGATGGAAGCAATACAGCGATAGTTTTGAGTCAAAATGTTTGTGAAGATGACAGTCAAACGAAAGGTGAAATATTCTACAATAGAAAAGGAATTCCTTGCAGTATTACGGAGTATTGAGACATTTGGTTATTACTTAAACAATGTCCAGTTCACTGACCACAGTCCTCTAGTTTGGGCAGAGAAAACCAATCTAAAAAACCAGAGACTGATGAGATGGGCTCTGGCATTACAGCCCTATTGTATGGAAATTTGATATAGGAAAGGTTAGAAAAATGCTTACGCAAAGATGTTTGTGCATTGAGTAAAAAAGACGACTTTCATTTTTATGGAAGTTTATCACAGTTAATCCATGTATTGTACTCTAGTGTAGTTTATTGTAAAAAATGAAATTCATGTGTAACTTCCCACAGGATTAAATTTCAGTCATTAATACTAGTGTACAGACTGTGTACAAACGATTGGATTGGACACCTCATTTGATTAAAAGTTAATTAGAAATTATCAGGACAGTGTCTGGATCACATGTTTATGTTCTGAACAATTTTATCTCTGAAATTTATCTTAAGAGGTGTGGTGTTAAATATGAAATAGTGACTCAAAAGTTAAGTGGCAATTTGATTGGTGCTTCAGTGTATATGTCAGATATAGCTGTCAGGACACCTTACTCTGTGACCGGTGTATATGTCAGATATAGCTGTCAGGACACCTTACTCTGTGACCGGTGTATATGTCAGATATAGCTGTCAAGACACCTTACCCAGTGACAGGTGTATATGTCAGATATAGCTGTCAGGACACCTTACTCTGTGACTGGTGTATATGTCAGATATAGCTGTCAAGACACCTTACTCTGTGACCGGTGTATATGTCAGATATAGCTGTCAGGACACCTTACCCAGTGACAGGTGTATGTGTCAGATATAGCTGTCAGGACACCTTACCCAGTGACAGGTGTATATGTCAGATATAGCTGTCAGGACACCTTACTCTGTGACCGGTGTATATGTCAGATATAGCTGTCAAGACACCTTACCCAGTGACAGGTGTATGTGTCAGATATAGCTGTCAAGACACCTTACTCTGTGACCGGTGTATATGTCAGATATAGCTGTCAGGACACCTTACCCAGTGACAGGTGTATGTGTCAGATATAGCTGTCAAGACACCTTACTCTGTGACCGGTGTATATGTCAGATATAGCTGTCAGGACACCTTACCCAGTGACAGGTGTATGTGTCAGATATAGCTGTCAAGACACCTTACTCTGTGACCGGTGTATATGTCAGATATAGCTGTCAAGACACCTTACCCAGTGACAGGTGTATATGTCAGATATAGCTGTCAGGACACCTTACTCTGTGACCGGTGTATATGTCAGATATAGCTGTCAGGACACCTTACTCTGTGACTGGTGTATATGTCAGATATAGCTGTCAAGACACCTTACCCAGTGACAGGTGTATATGTCAGATATAGCTGTCAGGACACCTTACTCTGTGACCGGTGTATATGTCAGATATAGCTGTCAGGACACCTTACTCTGTGACTGGTGTATATGTCAGATATAGCTGTCAGAACACCTTACTCTGACTGGTGTATATGTCAGATATAGCTGTCAGGACACCTTACCCAGTGACAGGTGTATATGTCAGATATAGCTGTCAGGACACCTTACTCTGTGACCGGTGTATATGTCAGATATAGCTGTCAGGACACCTTACTCTGTGACTGGTGTATATGTCAGATATAGCTGTCAGAACACCTTACTCTGACTGGTGTATATGTCAGATATAGCTGTCAGGACACCTTACCCAGTGACAGGTGTATGTGTCAGATATAGCTGTCAAGACACCTTACTCTGTGACCGGTGTATATGTCAGATATAGCTGTCAGGACACCTTACTCTGTGACCGGTGTATATGTCAGATATAGCTGTCAGGACACCTTACCCAGTGACAGGTGTATGTGTCAGATATAGCTGTCAGAACACCTTACTCTGACTGGTGTATATGTCAGATATAGCTGTCAAGACACCTTACTCTGTGACCGGTGTATATGTCAGATATAGCTGTCAGGACACCTTACCCAGTGACAGGTGTATATGTCAGATATAGCTGTCAGGACACCTTACTCTGTGACCGGTGTATATGTCAGATATAGCTGTCAGAACACCTTACTCTGACTGGGGTATATGTCAGATATAGCTGTCAGGACACCTGACTTGGTGACAGGTGTATATGTCAGATATAGCTGTCAGGACATCTTACCTGGTGACTGGTGTATGTGTAAGATATAGCTGTCAGGACACCTGACTTGGTGACTGGTTTATATGTCAGATATAGCAAATTGATTTTTATGACTATCACAGAATCAGGGAGGCTCAAGTTATTTCATGCCTGTTTTCATCTGATAATTGTTTAGTTAATTAATTGTCAAATACATATATATTGATATTATCCTGCATGTAACTAGCCAGTTCCATTGTCAGCCTTTGAGCTAGGCACATGTCTACTCTAACCATCTAGCATGATACAAAATAGTACCAGGCAATTGGAGTTTATTGTTTGTTCTTGTATCAGAGAGACTTGTAACAACCTCAGGTAAGTTCAATAATTGCCAAAATCTGTCCATGTGTGCTGAATTTTAGTGTATTTTGTGTTCCTTGATTTGTAGAGTATTTTAATTGATATATATATCATAATGTATTGTGAAAGTGCATTTCACCTCCATGCCCTAGCCTTCATGAATTGCTTCCCCTTACGTCATTGTGTTGCTGAAACATATCTTCACAGAAGTTGCAACACATGACCCTATTGTTTACGTCTTAAAAAAAGTGCCCACATTTTGTGTACTTTAGGCAGAAATTTTGTACAATTGGTGTCCTGATGAAGCCCGCATAATTTTGGGTTAAACCGGTTGACATAACAATACAGATCTAACAACTTACCCCAAGATTATTGCATTTGATATCTGTCTTTGTTTTGCCCCTATTCCTCAATCTCCCTGCCTACCAGTGTAAGTATCCCAGTGCAGGATATCAGGAAAGACTCTTATACTAAAAATCAGGGTGTTGGCTCTAGTCGTTGGTGGTAAAAAAATAGCTTGTTTCATTCTCCATTCAGAATTATTTTTGCTTGCATTGTATGCATGGAATGGTATTTCTAAGGTATGCACACTGTGATCCTTATAATAGTATTCCGTATTTGTTTACAATATATTCATGTCAGGTCACATTATAGATAATTAATCAGCACTCAATTGAGTATTAAAGGAATTAAAGGAATCCCTGTTTACAGATACCAATGTGTCTGGACTATGGGGAATCCCTGTTTACAGATACCAATGTGTCTGGACTATGGGGAATCCCTGTTTACAGATACCAATGTGTCTGGACTATGGGGAATCCCTGTATACAGATACAAAAGATTCTTTCCTATGGGGAACCCATGTATACAGATACCAATGTGTCTGGACTATGGGGAATCCCTGTATACAGATACAAATGTGTCTGGACTATGGGGAATCCCTGTTTACAGTTACAAATGTGTCTGGACTATGGGGAATCCCTGTTTACAGATACCAATGTGTCTGGACTATGGGGAATCCCTGTTTACAGTTACAAATGTGTGTGGACTATGGGGAATCCCTGTTTACAGATACCAATGTGTGTGGACTATGGGGAATCCCTGTTTACAGATACAAATGTGTCTGGACTATGGGGAATCCCTGTTTACAGATACCAATGTGTCTGGACTATGGGGAATCCCTGTTTACAGATACCAATGTGTCTGGACTATGGGGAATCCCTGTTTACAGATACCAATGTGTCTGGACTATGGGGAATCCCTGTATACAGATACAAATGTGTCTGAACTATAGGGAACCCATGTATACAGATACAAATGTGTCTGGACTATAGGGAACCCATGTATACAGATACAAATGTGTCTGAACTATAGGGAATCCCTGTATACAGATACAAATGTGTCTGGACTTTGGGGAATCCCTGTATACAGATACAAATGTGTCTGGACTATGGGGAATCCCTGTATACAGATAAAAATGTGTCTGGACTATTGGGAATCCGTGTATACAGATACAAATGTGTCTGAACTTTGGGGAATCCGTGTTTACAGATAAAAATGTGTCTGGACTATGGGGAATCCGTGTATACAGATACAAAAGATTCTTGACTATGGGGAATCCGTGTATACAGATAACAATGTGTCTGGACTATAGGGAATCCCTGTTTACAGATAACAATGTGTCTGGACTATAGGGAATCCCTGTTTACAGATAACAATGTGTCTGGACTATAGGGAATCCCTGTTTACAGATAACAATGTGTCTGGACTCTGGGGAATCCGTGTATACAGATACAAAAGATTCTTGACTATGGGGAATCCGTGTATACAGAAATCAAATCATCAGAACCAACAAGATCCTCTATATATTTGTTAATGTGATTTGATTAAAACAAAATACAACAGAACTATAGATAACAATTTTCCCTTTTATTCCTCCATTCAGTAACCATCAGCCTTTACACACATTGCATTTTAAACATTTCATAAACTTGCAATTGGATCAGAAACAGATATCCTTTCATTACAATACAAACGATTACTCAGCTTATAACTATGATATGTTATCTTTACTTCCTCTATACTTGAGACATAAATATAACACTTACTACATGTACAAGGCGTTGTCTTACTTTTTTCACTTAAATGAAAGATATATGAAAAATGATAATTGTGTGCATTACAAGTACATGTTAGTTCAACATAATAATTTTAAATTTACATGCCTTGAATAATCAATCTGTAAAACAATGCACTTTTCTCACACAACCTGAGAACCTACATGTCTCTCTACCTGTATTACATACATTCTACAATGTTTCAGGAGAATTACTTCCCTATAAGATTTTTAATATTTAAATCCAGAATGTACAGCACATAAGGAGCCTATAAACATGTATCTGTAAAATCTTTGTGTTTGACTGAAATGTAGGTTCAATATTTCAAAGACATATACTTATCACTTCTTTGTTTTCATACTGAATGCTGAAATCTCTATGATAATTTATTACATCTCTACGAAATGAATATTTAAAAAAAAAAATTGAACAACTATTTGTCTGTGTCAGCATCATCAAAGGATATTTCCTAATACAAATGATTAACTTTGGTAAACTCCTCTGGACATTAATAAATAGAAGTGGTCTTCATGTTATTTGCTATTTGTTTACAGAGACAACCTTAAAAAACTCAGTACATGTGAAAAATATAAACATTTCTATACAATAAATAAATATAAGTTACAGACATACAATGATGCTTACAAAATATACATCATTTTGGACGGACTCAAAAAAACAAAATATATCCTAAGAAATTGTATTCATCAATACCAATTCTGTGCTGTACAACATATATCACAGATCTAGTCACAATTCAATACTATTTTCAGTCTTTTCAGATGCTAAAACATTGTTTTACTTCAATGTTTTTATTTAGGAAAGAGAAAAAATTATGTTGTAGTATATAAGCATTAGAAATTTTGAATAAATAATGACAATTAATTAACATTTTTAAAATCGCAACTTTGCAGTATTACACTTGAAAGCTTAATGATCTGATATACACAAACTATCTTTACATTGTAGAAAATGGGTCATGCTAGTTCTAATGTAAAGAAGACTTAAATACCTAGCTTGTTCCTTGTTCATTTACCAATCTTCGTATAAGCTACAATGAAAGCAAGGTAGGAAATACAGGTATGCTTGCACTGGTAGTTTACAAAGCATTTCATAAGCACTTCACTAAATACAGAGGAATTAGTGTCTTTCTCAAATCTGTACAACAATGACCTGGTATCAGGGTTACATTGCTTATAAAATTGCACATGCAGTAACTTAATATAAGTCTAAATTGTGTTCTTACATTCATATATTAAAACTAATGGAAATTTGTGATTGGATCTTCACAAAAGCTCACAACTTTGACATTATGCGAAAGTGGTCTCAGGAATTGGAGATGTAATGCAAATTTTTGTCCAAGATTCTGTAATCTAATTAAATGCTAGTTTGATTCCACGACTGTAATATGTCCACATCATCACGCTGACTCAAAGAACTGCACAAGGGACTGAAGATCGTAGTTATCTAGGACTTCGAGAAGAGCAGGCACCTTTCCTTTCACATTGTGACCTTTGAACTTGAACTTGTCTATATACAGATCAGTAATCATTCCTGACAAAAGTTAAGGAAATACATATATGTTTTTTTCTTTTTTTTACAAAAATCAATGAAAGTTGAGACTTTGAATAGAAAATGATGTCATTTATATTCAAGTTATTTGCAGTAAAGTTAATTTTCACAATATAACATTGGTTATCATAAAATGTACCTTAAACTGCCAAGGAAAAAGGACAATTTTTTAACTGTTGCTAAGTACCGAAAATATCACCCTGCTGAAAGTTTACATACTTGAAAATGAAAATCTGTAAACTGATATTCACCGTGAACCTATTGGGGAAGCCATTGATAAATACTTATTCAAACTCCCAGCACTTACTTCATACAAGTCTGGTTAACCTAAATACTTAATATATCACTACCAAAATATTCCACTTACATTTGACCCTCAATAATGTTGTACTTGATGTGAGTATGCAGTTCACTAGGAGTTGAGGTGTAAGTGTTTGGATAGATTGTACAACCAAACTATTATGAATTTCTTGATAATAAATTATCAACACTAACATATCAGCATGAATTGTCAAGATGGGATATCAATCTATCTGCTCTGGAAGATTTTGTGACATGATTTAACTTACATAAAAAAAACGTATAAAGACACAAATGCCCTGATCAAGTGTAAATCAGAATCTGATCAGGTCAAGAACTTCATATTACAATCCACTGGAGTAAATATGAACCAAGTCTGCTGAAAGGTTCTCAAGGTATTACATTGATTTGAAACAGGACATAATGAGACCGGATGTGGCATAACAGAATGGACATTGGTGGATAAACCTTCATGCGTCACCACAAAATGGCACAGGAATGAAAACATAGTTCAGTATATTGCCTGTTTCACTATATAAAAAGGATACCATAAAGTCTCTCTAGATGGCAGGGTTGTCGTTTGTACTCCACCTGTAGTGCATCTGCATCTTCTAAGATCTGACGATATTCTGGTGACATGAAACTCATGTCATTTTCATGTACCTGCAACTCCTGTATACCGACAAATAAACATCCAGTATCATACTTAAGAGGAATCAGTATATTTGTAAAGTGTATTATGTTACTCTAATCTATCTAAAAACAAATATATTAACAAATATAAAGTTGTGACAGTAAATACTAACATGGATATCCTTTATATGGTGTTATTCTAATATTATCTAGTCAAAAGAATGCCGACAAAATTGGAAGATCTAGAGAAAATAATCAGCATATATCCCAGGAAAAATGGCAGTTTAGTTATAAGTCACAGGTATGCTCCATTCCTTAACTGCAAAACAAGTAAAATATCAAGGCAAATACTTGTGCTGAGCGGGACAAAATCTAAAAAGTTGAAATTTTTAAATTCTTTGAAGGTTTATCTAAGAAGAATGTCTTCTTTTTCTTTTTTTTTTCTATCTTTTTCCTAACATAAGAATAAAATAGAATATTTTTCAATCAACAGACATGACAATGTTATTACCTTGAGGGCGTCAATAAGCTGCACTTTCTTGGCCAGTAACAGTTGGTACTCTAGTTTAGGGTGAATCAAGTTCAGAGTGTAGGGTACAGAATCCTCCACGATATCTATTGTACCATGAAATAAAGCAAGGTAATTAAAGAAAATCTCTGAATCTTGACACAGAATATTCCTTGTTATCTATGTAAACATAGGATACAATACATGGAACATCTTCACACATATCAACAGTGATGTTGGAGATAAACACATCAATCCCTCCTTCCACTCCTAATGGAAATTTAACTTAAAAAATTTAACTTAGAAAATTTAATTTAAATAAGAAAAAGTCAGACTGTATTTTTTTTCAATCTAGTACTGACATGAATCGAGTATTAAAACCACTACAGAATTCAGGGTTAATATCTAATGCACTGGATTCCTTACCATATGTAATGTCCAATCGAATCTTCTTCTTTGTGGCTTCCTTGGTAAGGACATCTTTGAGAATGGAAACTGTAGAAATGTTGTCAGACTTAAACACTGCCTGGCCCTTCCTGTTTACACAAAAATACAAATATATTTAACGTGCAATGTACACCAGGTCAATTACCTTAACGATGTACTTTTCTGACCTGTCATATATAATAGCAAATCTAGAAAAGATGGGAAAGATTTCTGTGGTATACTTTGTAATTGATCAGTCTTATAATGTTTGAAAACCTCTCAACAACTTTTTTGTTTACCTCACCTGTATTCACATTCAAGTAATGTGTCAAGGAATGTGGAGACAAAATGGAAAGTTAGTACATCTCCAGGTGGGGTTCTCTCCGGGAGCTCTGGTAGACAGAAGGATACCCAGGAGTGCATCTCTGCCAAGCTAAACTGACCAGTCAACTTCACAGTGTTCAGGGGTCTAGAATTAACACAAGATATAAAAGGGTTTTGGAAGTGAGAACTGTATGTTGAAAGTTTTTCTTTTATTTATATTTCATTGCTTCAAATAGCATCTTGTGACTCTTCGTACCATGAAGGAACAATAACATATTTATATAGCCTAGTTTTAATATGTTTGGAGATAAATTCATTGTTCTTCTACAAAGGATCATTCTAAAGGACACACTTGCTGAGAGAAAAGATGAAGGAGTGAAATTTTTAATTGAAGATAGAAAATGAGGATTTGAAAAAAAAACAATAGCTTATCTTGAGGATCAATGTGCAAATCAGGAGGAAATTGATAAAGTTGTAAAAACCCTCAGGATGAAATATCAATAGGAGACATGCCTAAGATTTCTACTTAACACGTTTTGTATTTCATTATTCTTGGATTTGAATTTTAGACCTAAAATAAGTTTTCAATAAACATAATAGCTTAAAATGATATCATGTTTGCTCTATATTTTACAAATCAACTTCAATAAGTCATTCTTACCTGGTATCATCAAACACATGTGTGCGCTGGTGAAGTGACAGAGGTTTGATCTGGTATTGACGGACCTGGCAGGTTTTTGGTTGAACCCGTGGTGTGACATAGGCTTGTAGGGTCCCATACTGTCCTTCAATGGAGCGTATCTTGAGCTCTAACCGTGTTGTGTTGGCTTGACAACGGTAAGTTGCTAGCAGGAAATTCCCATCCTAAAAATATGTATTCAGCATAATAATTCTATTTTGAAATGCTTACTTCTCTTAAGTTTATCATTAAATTACAACTGCTAAGAAAAACTTCAGAATGCTAAAAATATCTTAATATCAAGCAATATCTTGTTTCCCTTGACAACATTTGACTTAATCAGTCAAAATTCTTGACAACCAGTGTAATGACCTTGACTTCTAAAATAACCTTGCTGTTGGTACTAAAGATGTTAGAGTTGTATGGTAGACAATGTGAAATTAAAGACTACAAAATATCTGGAAAACATGAACATCCCTGCTTCCATGCATACAAAGTCGTCAAATGTGACCTTTGACCCTTTAACCTGACCTGATGAACACTTTCATATAACAAGTTGTAGGCCTTGATGTTATGATGCTATTGGGTAAATATGAACCAAATCTATTCACAAGTTCCTATGATATGACATTGGTTTGGAATGGGACAGACTAGAAGGGGATGTAACATGATGACAGATTGACTTTGGTAACACTACATGCCCTCTATAAAAAGGCAGGGTTTAGTTTCATGCTCAATGTTTCTTCTATTCAGATAAGTTGACTCCTAGTTCCTGTAACATGCAATGCATGGTAAAGGTGATCAGAAGTTATGGCAGTTTAGAACAGTATATATATGATGTGTGAGTTAGGTGTGAGAACAATTGGATTAAGATATAACATGTACTGACCTCTGGGTTACAAGCGCTGTAGCTAACCACTGCCGAGTTCTTCTCAACGTCAAGTAGATCAATGGGCACATCACTCTGTATTGCAAACCAAATTTTTCAGAGTGATCAGCACACAAAAAAATAATTCCCATATTTCGTGTTGATCAATGATAATAAGGAGAGAAAATGACAAAGGACACGCATATACATAATATGTAGAAACAAAACAAAGTAATATTTAGCAGTTAGGATTTTAACATTTTTTATCATCATAGACTGGGTTGAAAATTTTGATTTGCATGGTGTAGACTTAGCAGTTTAATGATTGTAAGACACATCTCATCAACTTGAATTATATGAAGCAATGGATGCATGACTTGTTCACTCCAAGCCTCCTGAAATATTTGACAGGTAAGTTATGCCTCAACAAAAATACAAAGCAGCCCCAAGAATTTAATGGATGGGATGTTTTAGCTCGATTTTTCCAGGTGCTTCTTCATACATGTATTTTCTTTTGTTTAAGTATGCAGATCTCAACAATAGTCTATATATCGGACATTAAATGTACCATATTTTCCGGGTTATAAGCCACAGTACATTTTAAAATTCTTCATCAAATATATCACTGTGTCCAACTCCGAAGATAAAATTTATTTAAATGAACTACCTGAAGGAGTACATTATCAATAGGCATTTGAAGCTCCAGACTGAGAGTGTAGCTGGCATCCTCCCGATTCAGAACAAACTTGTCATTAATGCTGAAGTTAGGTATGGCTGATATCGCTGTCTGACTGTTAGCTGTCTGCTGATACTTTTCTCGCTCGTCCAATACCTTCTGCTGGAGTGTATCCAGCTCCGACCTGAACAATTGTCACACAATATTAAAGATATGTCCAAATAAGGCAGTTTTAACAAAACGTATATGTAGGTAGCATTGTAAAATACATAAATATAAATATTGAACTGAAGTTAAATGTATTATATTGTATCATATTATGAAATACAGTTAATCACTTTTATATCATTGGTTAACATACAGGAGTGTTAAAATAGTCTTCAGTTTAGAAAAGTGAAACCTCATTGATTCTGTAAAATTAAGACTGTTTTTGGTATCTTATTTCTTTAAATAGAAATGCAAATTACATGCCAGTACAAAAAAGTGCATAAAAATATGTAATCAGAATCAATCTTCATTAAAGATGGGCATTAAAGGATGTAATATATGATAATAACAGAATCCCATGACATTGTAACACAAAATATACTATAAAACATTTGACACAATAGCTCTCTCTAGTTCCAACATGCAGTGCTTTTATACAAAAATGTATATCTATGTAGAGTGAATAATGAGGTCTCACTTATATATATATATATTGTGTACATGTGATAAATTAAATACAGAAATTTCTATATTTGAATTTTGAAAAAAAAAATTAACATTATAAATCAAATTAATTAAAATAAAATGTTAGATCACATAATTTTGTAATGAAAGAATTTCAACATGGCACTAACTTGAATTATGTAGCCATGTATAACACAATATACAAGCTAAGATTAACTTACAATTAAATTTTATCTATCATTAAACCTAGAACTAAACCATATGTGTATCCCTGGGTTTAATTGATTATAATCAGCTAACAGCAAAAAGATTTGACTTGAACAACAAACAAAATTGTATGAATCTGGGACCAATTAGTCACCTAAGTACCCAGATATTTACTATATTTCATCAGACTTAAATTAAAGGTTTATATCAGTTCAGATATCATAAAAATAATATATAGCTGAAATGAATCATACCTAATTTTTAACACTTAAAAATGTTTAATTTCAAAGTGCTGAAAATAGAACTAAAGTATCATTTACAATTCAACACATATCTTAAAACAAATTTGTAAATAAAGGATTGAAATAAAACATATAATAATTTGTTAGAATTTTTAAAGTGCTGAGGTTAGCATTCTAACTTCTATGTGATAATTTAGTAAACATTTGATGTCGTGATTAATGATACTAAATAAAGGCTACATGATATGCTTGCTTAAACAAATACTGAAATGTGTTTTACATGAATCATGTACTCAATCCTATTGTCTCTCTGAACATTACATTTGTGTATTGTCTCTGTTGCCATCGCATCATTAACAATTAATATTTGGGTATAGTGTAATCAAATCAACTTTACATCACTTGTTGAATATAGATTAAAGGAAGTAATACATTGTAAGTATCAAGTATGTCCTTTTTGTTATCGTCATAGTGACCGTTACCATGGAAACGACCTACTTGAGGTTGGAGATTTTGTTGCTCGCAGCTGCAGTGACAACAACTTCTGTTGGGCCCATGCCTTTTGTCAGATGCTCAGATGTAAGACCTATCAACCAACCTGTTATAGGAGATACAGCGGTCACTCACAGGTACCAACACAATGTCCTATAGACTGTCATATCATTCACCAAACACTGGCATATTGTTCAAAAGGAAAGGCATGTTTTTGATAAGGATAGGCATATTGTTTACATGGACTGACATAAAACATACATCATAACGATGACAGGTATACCACCACAAACTAGGATAAAAGAAAGAGTCACAAAGATAGGTGTAACATCATAAAAACAATGGAAAAAAGCAGCCCTGCAAAACACCAAAACGAAGTGAAAGTAGAAGAGAATTTTTGTCAGAGGCAGGTCTTCCTACCACATATTGCTGATGACTTATGTTTTACATGTCTTTTGTATATTGATGAAATTTCAGAGCATACAATATCTTTAAATCAACCATCATAGCTAACCCAGTTTCATGACTTATTTCAATCGCTTACATCAATGAAAAAAAGATATGACAAACCTATTGTAGAGTGAATACTTCTATTCCCTTCTGTATGCAGACCTTAAAGTTAGTAATTTTTTGTTTATAGTGCAATAAAATATACTATTCTGGTGTTGATGAAGAAGAAAAATGTGCTGCTTATTCACTACTTTACACAAATATTGATAATGGGAATGTAAAGTAAATTATTTAGAATTCAAACACCATTCCTGGCACCCCTTCCATCTTACAGCTCTAACTGTAGATACAGAAAGAAACCGTGCTGTAGTAGGATATTATATAACCTTAGTAAAATCCATTAAGGATATATTTGGTGGCTGCAGTTTCGTTATAAGTCACCTGTGACATTGTGTTGAGCTGCATGACATATGTTTTAAGCATAAGACTAAAATAAAGTTTAAACACAAAAAACTAATTGAATGTACAATAATATCAATCTGTATATATCATACTTGTAAACTTTCCCTAATCAGTTTGGTGTTTCCAGATTTTCACTTTTGGACCCTGCCTCCCGATTATATTGATCTAAAATGGGGTAATCTCCTGACTTCAGAGATCCTGTTATGTATATTATACCTGTATTTACTTGTACCTGTCACTAAATTGCTAAACCAAACTGATATGCACCATAATTTCTGGAATATTTTGGAAAAGTTTTGTTTAATCAAAGGGCAGAGACAAATGGGGCAAATCATTTGTATTCCTTTAACATAACTTTAACATTTTATGCAGAACAGAAAAGAAAAACAAAAACAAAAGAAGAAATGAATTTCAACTCTGTAAAAAAGTGTTGTTTAAATTAGTAAGAATGCAAAAAAAAATGCTTCTAAAGTTAATAATTTAAAAATTATAATTCCACCCTTGAGTGACCAGAACTTTTAATTTGATGATCGTAGACATTTCTAAAGCGGTACTAAATTAATTACAAAATTTATCAATTAAAATGAAAACTAAAAATTGGAGGCTATAACACTTTGTTGATCACCAGAAACAGGACAATACATTCAAATATATTAGCACACAACATTAGGTATTACCAAAGTATCAAAGGAATTTTAGAAATGACATCTGATAAAAAAAAAGATTAAGAAAAAAAAAAATCCAAGGATATACTTCTGTTAGAAATATATATATGACACTTCAAAATTTAACCGACACAAAAGATAACATCAAAAAATCCCCAACTACCAAAAGTGGTCATTGTACATGGGGAGGTAGCAGTGGGGGAGAGGATTGAAGATTTTCTTTTGGTAATAAAATAACTTTGAAAGAAGAAGATTGAGAAGAAATCAAAATGTTTATTTCTAATGTACAATAATGTTACTTGATCTATTGAGTATAGAGAATACATGTACAAAACAATCAATTTTAAGACTGTTTCATTTTGGGTCCAACAAAATAACCATTTTATGAACTACCAAAAACAAAATTTGAAAGAATAAAATTCATGATTGGTGGGCTGTGTTTTTAAAAGCCATATCCACTAGAATCACTAATTTAAAAGAATTAAATAGCTTAGTTTTTTCTTTACCTACAAATTAACATTCGATTCATTTAAACAGTTAACAAGAATTTAAATGAAATGCTAAATGTCACTCTCCAAGAGAATCCTGTATGAAGAAAATCTCTTTTGTTCTGAATAGGTTTCAGATTTGACAGATCAGAACTTATCAGTGATCTCTTTCTACAAATTTCTATGTCAAAAAATAATCAAAATATGGAAAACTGCAGAATATCGTGTATTGTGGATATGCCTTCAAATCAGGAATACACTCAGATGTGAACAAACACTGTGGATCATCATGAGAGTTGGAACAGAAAAAGATAATATAAAAATCAAAACCCGACAGATCAAAAGAAAATGATCCCATGAAAGGCATTTAAATCACTGTTACTTCAAATGAACATTATGTAAGTTAAGAACACAACTAGAAAAAATGTGAAAGACATTTGTTTTTCATTTTGCCCTGTTAAAAACATTTTGGAAATCATTTTTCATTGTTGAAAACATTTTGGAAATCATTTTTCATTGTTGAAAACATTTTGGAAATCATTTGTCATTGTTGAAAACATTTTGGAAATCATTTTTCACAAGTTCTTTATTTTCTAATAGGTTTTTCCTCTTTTTTTTAACCATAGTTTACTATATGTATCTAAATAATCATACCTGGTGCATGTACGTTTTTTGACAAAAATAAATCAATAAATGTTCTATTTTTTTCCCATCTTTTCCACACAATCATGGGAGTATTATCTTTTGATCAGTAATTGCAAGGAAAGCAGTAACAAAGTATATAAGAGTGCTGTGTTACCTAAGCCCTATTATTTTATCCCTGCCCTCAAAAGTGAGGATCTGGGAGGTTTGTGGGCCTACAGTCTTGATATGAGGCTCGGAGGTAAGGCTGAAAAGCCATCCTGAAATCAACAGCAGCAGCACTGGCTATCAACATTGTATACCATGATAAAATTATATATTATATATATACATACTTTGAAAGTCAACGATGCATATCTCAAACATTAAAAAGTACTTTATTATCATTGACATTTCTGAATTTTGGTTATGATCAAAATAATGGCAGAAGTCAATTTAAATAGGAAAAAAATTAAATGAGTATTCCTCATAGATGTAAAATTAAATTAGCATTCATATCCCTGTAAAATAGATAATTTATTAATAAAAGAACATCTCACGATCTTCAATATAATTTGTAAATAATAATGTTATTGTATGGCAATATATGCTCCTCTTAGAAGGATTTTATTTAAAAAAAAAAAAAAAATTGTTTGCAAGTACATCGATAGAGGAAAATATTTTCTAGAAACATTGTCTTTTAAAAATAGCCCTTATTTAATTTACTAAGAATTCAAACCAATGGATACTAAGGTGATTGTGTAACCTTCAATATTGACTTCTGACAGCCCTTAATCTTAGAGTGAACTACATGTGATTAAGACAAGAAATGCACATGCACATCAATTTGTACTTTCAACCTTTAACAAGATGACTTGACACAAAGACCAATCACAATATAATGCAAGTGTCAACTAGCAGGAAAACAAATATGCATATCAGTTTGAAAGCTCAGGAGAAATGGTGAAGAAAATGTCATAAGGTCCAATTAATATGCAATCTTCTGACTCCTAACAGTTATAAAATGTGTCCCTGTTGGAGAATTGTCAGTATTGTTCTTGTATTGAAGTAAATGATGAAAGAAACGGGCCAATGGCAAAAACCACTGAACATTCCCTCCACCATGCCCCATGTCACAAGGTATCATGCCTCTACCATCTGGTGGAATAAATCTTTACACAGATACAGGAGAAAAATGATCTCCATATCAATACATTTTCTTTATAAACGTGAGATAAAATTTCACTCACAAATTAAAGTTACTCAATAGAGGAAATCTCCTCATTTACAAATACAAATGAAACATTTTGATTCTCAGATAAGGTCAAGTTACACCCCATAGATTGATAGTTGGTTTACCTGGATAGGTAGAACAGACAATCTCGTCATAGCCCGCAGTCGCTACATTGCCAGCGTGTATAGCTGTTACACTCTCACTGCAAGTCTGTAACATAAAATGAAGATATGACAAAACACATTGTCTAAGAAGGGTAAAGCATTTGTTTATAATTGTGAAACTTGATCAACAGAAGAAATTGTGAAAATTGATGAGGACTTGATAAAAGTGGGTGTGGGACAACTAGACTAGTGGTGGTGACAGTAGGACAATTATTAGTGGTGGGAATAGTGGGACAACTATTAGTGGTGAGGACAGTGGGACAACTATTAGTGGTGGGGACAACTATTAGTGGTGGGAATAGTGGGACAACTATTAGTGGTGGGGACAGTGGGACAATTATTAGTGGTGGGAATGGTGGGACAACTATTAGTGGTGGGGACAGTGGGACAACTATTAGTGGTGGGGACTGTGGGACAATTATTAGTGGTGGGCCCAGTGGGACAACTATTAGTGGTGGGAACAGTGGGACAACTATTAGTGGTGGGAACAGTGGGACAACTATTAGTGGTGGGAACAGTGGGACAACTATTAGTGGTGGGGACAGTGGGACAATTATTAGTGGTGGGAATAGTGGAACAACTATTAGTGGTGGGGACTGTGGGACAACTATTAGTGGTGGTGACAGTGGGACAACTCTTAGTGGTGGGGACAGTGGGACAACTCTTAGTGGTGGGAATAGTGGGACACCTATTAGTGGTAGGAACAGTGGGACAACTATTAGTGGTGGGGACAACTATTAGTGGTGGGAATAGTGGGACAACTATTAGTGGTGGGGACAGTGGGACAATTAATTGTGAAACTTTATCAACAGAAGAAATTGTGAAAATTGATGAGGACTTGATAAAAGTGGGTGTGGGACAACTAGACTAGTGGTGGTGACAGTGGGACAATTATTAGTGGTGGGAATGGTGGGACAACTATTAGTGGTGGGGACAGTGGGACAACTATTAGTGGTGGGGACTGTGGGACAATTATTAGTGGTGGGCCCAGTGGGACAACTATTAGTGGTGGGAACAGTGGGACAACTATTAGTGGTGGGAACAGTGGGACAACTATTAGTGGTGGGAACAGTGGGACAACTATTAGTGGTGGGGACAGTGGGACAATTATTAGTGGTGGGAATAGTGGAACAACTATTAGTGGTGGGGACTGCAGGACAACTATTAGTGGTGGTGACAGTGGGACAACTCTTAGTGGTGGGGACAGTGGGACAACTCTTAGTGGTGGGAATAGTGGGACACCTATTAGTGGTAGGGACAGTGGGACAACTATTAGTGGTGGGGACAGTGGGACAACTATTAGTGGTGGGGACAACTATTAGTGGTGGGAATAGTGGGACAACTATTAGTGGTGGGGACAACTATTAGTGGTGGGAATAGTGGGACAACTATTAGTGGTGGGGACAGTGGGACAATTATTAGTGGTGGGAATAGTGGGACAACTATTAGTGGTGGGAATAGTGGGACAACTATTAGCGATCGGGACAGTGGGACAACAATTAGTGGTGGGAATAGTGGGACAACTATTAGTGGTGGGGACAGTGGGACAATTATTAGTGGTGGGAATAGTGGGACAACTATTAGTGGTGGGAATAGTGGGACAACTATTAGCGATCGGGACAGTGGGACAACAATTAGTGGTGGGAATAGTGGGACAATTATTAGTGGTGGGAATAGTGGGACAACTATTAGTGGTGGGGACAGTGGGACAACTATTAGTGGTGGGGACAGTGGGACAATTATTAGTGGTGGGAATAGTGGGACAACTATTAGTGGTGGGAATAGTGGAACAAATATTAGTGGTGGGAATAGTGGGACAACTATTAGTGGTGGGAATAGTGGAACAACTATTAGTGGTGGGGACAGTGGGACAACTATAAGTGGTGGGGACAGTGGGACAACTATTAGTGGTGGGGGCAGTTGGACAACTTTTATTGGTGGGGACAATTATCAGTGGTGGGGACAATGGGACAACTATTAGTGGTAGGGACAGTGGGACAACTATTAGTGGTGGGGACAGTGGGACAACTATTATTGGTGGGGCCAAATATCAGTGGTGGGGACAGTGGGACAACTTTTAATGGTTGGAATAGTGGGACAACTATTAGTGGTGGGAATAGTGTAACAACTATTAGTGGTGAGAATAGTGGGACAACTAGATTTGTGGTGGGGATAGTGGGACAACTATTATTGGTGGGAAAAGTGGGACAATTATTAGTGTTGGGGATAGTTGGACTTTTGATGGTGGGGCAGTGGGACAACTATAAGTTAAGGGGATAGTGGTACAACTAGATTAGTGGTGGGGAAAGTGGGACAACTCTTAGTGGTTGGGATTGTGGGACATCTATCAGTGTTGGGAATGTGGGAGAACTATAAGAAGTGAGTACAGTGGGACAACTACTAGTGATTGGGATATTGGAACAACCAGATTAGTGGTGGCAATATTGGAACAACCACATTAGTGGTGGCAATATTGAGACAACCAGATTAGTGGCCTAGAAAATTATAAATGGGGGATACAACTAGGTTATTTGTGGCTGGAAAGAGAAACAACCAGATTAGTGATAGATGGATATAATGAGACAACCAGGACAGTGGTGAATGGATATAATGGGACAACCAGGACAGTGGTGGCTGGATATAATGGTACAACCAGGACAGTGATGGCTCGATATAATGGGACAACCAGGACAGTGGTGGCTCGATATAATGGTACAACCAGGACAGTTGTGACTGGATAAAATGGTACAACCAGGACAGTGGTGGCTCGATATAATGGGACAACCAGGACAGTGGTGGCTGGATATAATGGTACAACCAGGACAGTGGTGGCAGGATATAATGAGAAAACCAGGACAGTGGTGGCTGGACAGAGAAACAACCAGACTATTGCTGGTTGGATATAATGGGACAACCAGGAAAGTGGTGGCTGGATATAATGGGACAACCAGGACAGTGGTGACTGGATATAATGGGACAACCAGGACAGTGGTGGCTGGATATAATGGGACAACCAGGACAGTGATGGCTGGATATAATGGGACAACCAGGACAGTGGTGGCTGGATATAATGGGATAACCAGGACAGTGGTGGCTGGATAAAATGGGACAACCAGGACAGTGGTGGCTGGATATAATGGGACAACCAGAACAGTGGTGGCTGGATATAATGGGACAACCAGGACAGTGATGGCTGGACAGAGAAACAACCAGACTATTGCTGGCTGGATATAATGGGACAACCAGGACAGTGATGGCTGGATAGAGAAACAACCAGACTATTGCTGGTTGGATATAATGGGACAACCAGGACAGTGGTGGCTCGATATAATGGGACAACCAGGACAGTGGAGGCTGGATATAATGGGACAACCAGGACAGTGGTGGCTGGATATAATGGGACAACCAGGACAGTGGGACAACCAGGACAGTGGTGGCTGGATATAATGGGACAACCAGGACAGTGGAGGCTGGATATAATGGGACAACCAGGAGAGTGGTGGCTGGATATAATGGGACAACCAGGACAGTGGTGACTGGATATAATGGTACTACCAGGACAGTGGTGGCTGGATATAATGGGACAACCAGGACAGTGATGGCTGGATATGATGTGACAACCAGGACAGTGGTGACTGGATATAATGGTACAACCAGGACAGTGGTGGCTGGATATAATGGTACAACCAGGACAATGGTACAACCAGGACAGTGGTGGCTGGATATAATGGTACAACCAGGACAGTAGTGACTGGATATAATGGGACAACCAGGACAGTGATGGCTGGATATGATGGGACAACAAGGACAGTGGTGGCTGGAAAGTGATTCAGCAGGATTGGTGGTATCTAGGTTGTGGGACAAGTACATGTTTATTATAAGATAATTTTGGAATATCTTAATTGAAATGGAATCCTAGAAACTTATTTCTTATTTTCCTGATAGCAAATTTCAAAAATGACCTAATCAGGAACAAATACAAAAAGTACATCATTTCATTGGAGTCGTTTTATCAAAAAATAAAGCACAAAATAAAAAAACAAAAATAAAAGGACTGAGGAAGATAATTACGTGACTATATCTGTGGACAGGGTCTTCTGATTCATCATAACTGTACACCTCTACCTGTCCATCATCTCGTCCCAACAACAGATCAAGCACACCATCTGCTGTGATGTCGAAGTTGTCAATACACATCACACCTACAACAAATTTGGTGTACATTGTTGCAGTAACAATTTATTTAGCTAAGGGAGATAACTCTAACAAATTTTCCTGTCTAATTTGTGAAGTAGCATGTAGTAAGAGGAATGATAATGAATCAATTTCAACAAACATTGATTCTAGCCAACTAGTCTTCCCTTTTTTCAGCTGCAAACCTGCATTACCACTTATTTAAATCATATCCTGTTTATGTGTGTGCATGTACAGCACTTGGCCAGCACCAAGAACTGCTGCTGTCCCATGAAGTGAATAGGAAAGAATAGGTATACTATCATGGTATTCAAATTATCATTTTTTTTCTGTCAATGTAAAGCATTTTATTGAATTTTATCAAGTGTCCAGAATTTCATTAAAAGCATAATTCTAAAATCAACACAATTTATGATTAATTCTTATTTTTGTGATAAAATTTACATAAATCTGATATCGACGAAATTTCATCTTATACATGCATTATGTATAAATCAAATTAAATTCCATTTAACGAATACATGGATCAGGTTTGCACATACAAATTGTAATTGATTGCTCTTTTTCTTTTTTTTTCAAAAATATATTCAAATCAGTTTATACAAGAATGTTTCAACAGATCAGAAAACTTTTATTTATTTTTAAACTGGTCAGATTAATCTCTTAATTTCCATTTTCTATGCAACTTTAAATGCCAAAAATACTTCTGAAGGTGTAACAGCTTCAATTTTATCAACAAATAGTCATTGATGCTGCTATGCTTGAATATCAAGTGGTGTTACAAGTGCACTGACCTGTAAACAACGCTGAAACATATCCACAATCTTGACTAGTTATCATGTAACTTGTAACAGACAGTGATACTACTAGTAAAACAAAATAAATAATGTGTAATTTAACAAACGCTAAAAGTCATAAATTTTGGTGTCACAATTTTTGCACCTACCTCCATTTCGTTTTTCATTTGGCAATTCCCACTTGTGTGATGGGCATTCCCTGAAAATGAAATTACCAAAATGAAACTATTGTCTATAACAATGAATAAAAAATGTGTTAATACCAAATTTCTCAAAAACAATCCGATACACTTCCTTTCACCTAACAAACTAATCACATTTCAATTATTATGCATAATATTATTTAAAAATGGTTGCATAATACAGGTCTCTATAAACAATAAAGAAATAACAATATGTCAATATAATCATAATCCAAACTCAAATTCAATAAAACTAGGGCAAAATAAAAAAAAAAGAAAGATTTACACAGCAATTCCTGAAAAAGTACAAGGAGTATAAGACAAGTTGTGTGAAGTGACATTGAATGAAAGGTCATGCAAAATATCTCAGCAATATTACTAGTGCAGATGTTTTCTCAAGGTTTTATTGTATGGTGCAAGGCATAATATCCATGTTTAAACAACTGACAGTTGCAAATTTCTTCCGTGAATTTTTAAATGAACAGTACCCTCTATATATCAACACAATTTTAAGGTTTGTGGTTAAAGTATCAAGGGTTTAAATTATGATTTGCAGACAAAACATTCTGAATATGATTTATTGAGAGAGAGTTTAAGTACGTACTTGCTGATCTGTACTAGTCCCACTCTGCCGTCAGACGTCCCATACAATATCTCATTTCCATCCTCTCCTGAGGAGCAATGATTTTGACATTAAAAACAAATAAAAGTTTTGGGTGGAAATATTGATTTTTCGTGTCACTCAAGGAAACATTTGGATATTGAGGTCTTGAATTCACTTCATGCAATTCAAAATCTTTAATATGAACACATAAACAAGAGCATGAAATGAATAGCAAAAAATTATGACAAACTATGTATGTCATTCAAATACCCTTTACTCTTGTTGATTCAAGCTCTTTAAATAGTTGGAGTTTTCAACAGATGATTTCTTATGGTTATATATACATATCAATTCAGTTCTATTATATCACAGGCATGAGTTTAATAGGACATTTAGTAATTCTGCTAAAGAGCACAATGATATAACTACATATGCTGTGGGACACATCATATATGACCAATCCTTGACCCATGCTTCTTTAAAAACAGAATATGATTTTATCTGATATTGTTGATGATACACTGTACGACATCCTCTATTACTTTACACTAGCCTGTGTCTATTTAGGAATAAGGTAAACTTACCTGCAGTATTACCATACAGCTGCAGCACTGTTGGTGGACCAGGCACTTCTACTTCATATAACAGCTCAGATTCCTATACAAAACACAACATGCATTGATCAGTTGATTATCTGAACCATCTGCATACTGGTAGTGGAGAATTCAGTGCTGAGCGAAAAGAGAAAATCAATGCCCCTGACAACAAATCACTAATAAATTTGAAAAGATTGTTTATCTTTTTTCCTGATGAACAAAGTTCAGTGCAACATACACACAAACTACATAATATTATTGATATATTGAAATATAAAAAATGTACACGTAGTTCGACGATACTGATAAATCATTATATTTTCTATAATAAAGATTGAGGGATATTTTTAATTCAAAAGTCATATCTTATAGCTCACCTGGTATATGTGTCCATCTTTCAGTGTTCTAGTCATTAGAAGTAGTCACTTATCTATCGTCTTAGAACTTGTTATTTATGTGGAAGTTGATATTACATACGAATATAAGACTGACTACTCTTTCAGATCATTTATGGATTAAACATCTCACTGAGAACCCTTCATGTCTCTTCATCTCTTCACCAAACTTACTTGACTACTTGAGAGAGTTCTGATCCACTCTGCAGTGTACGAGTGATTTCATTTTCCAACATTGTTAAAGCCAACTGGGTGCTTATTTTTACACTAAGGGATTTAATCATACACACCTGGAGAACTCTGAGCACACGATCCTGACAAGCAAGGATGGGGGTAATATCTGGGTTACGGTCCATTGGCAGACATACAATATCTGAAATCTTGTCACCAGAAAGGAAATAATTTGTGTCTTTACAATCATGATAATGATTATATACAAAATTTCCACATGTCAGTAATTCAGATCCTTCAACATATCTGAAATTGCAAAAGAGAATACATGAAAGGTACATATTACATACTAATTAGCTACATCTATATATGTCTTAGAAAGAACAGCTGCCAATTATTCCTGTGTATATGTACCATTGTAAAATGTGAATGGTAACCATCTTGGATTATAGATGATGAAATAACAAGTATTATGTGATCATAATGATTTTATTTTGTCAAAAAAGAAGAAATATTTCAGTCCTTACCCAGTACATAAATTATATATATTTTTGATCTGTGATCTATTCAATATGTACCAAAACCATTTTTCCTTTGAATGAAGCAAAAGGTTGGAATTAGGATTTATTCCTTTCAACTTTCATTTAAGAAATTCACATAAATTATAAGGAAACTACAAAAGATACTTCATGCTGATAGATACAAATGAATGACGAACTTCAACACAACATACCATGGATATTATTTTGTTTGCTTGTGGCAGCAAGACATTTTAACCTACCGGTAATGTCATATAGATTCAGTTTGTGAGGTATGCAGACTTACATGGATTGAATAGGTTCTGAGAGGTTAGTGTCAAACTTCAAAAAATTCTTTCCTTTTTTGGTAAACCCTTTGACCTCTGAACCAACTGCCAGGAAGATTCGCTCGCGTGTTCCCCCAATAGGTCCTCCAAGTTCTATTCGATTTATTTTCTTAGAAATGTTTGTCTTGAATACATGCTGCAAGAACATTTTTCAAAAACGGTGCTGTCTGAGTTGACAGATCTTTGTACAAAGCATCAAAGTAAGAACTACAGGTTTGTAAAAAGTAAGAACATGAACGGGAAACATCCAGTTGGACTGAATACCCTAGAAATGCTTCTACTGCAAGACAGGATATACAACATGATGGCTTCCTTGTAATAGTAAAATAATCATTAATTACAGTGACAATTGTTTTGAAAATTGATTTCATCAATATGAATATATCCAAGTTGCAAATATGTGTACATTACATGAAAACATTGGACTTTATAACTCAGTTAAATTTTCTTTACTGATGAATTTGAATCTAAAATTCTATGTTATTCAATGCTCCTCTTTTTTTTTTAGACTCATCACACACCTGTGGTTCTCCTTTCTTCATTCCTATACACTGAAACAGGCCTTCCTGGTCACCCATCACCACCTAAAGTGATGAAAACAGATTTAATAAAGCACTGTCACCTTTATTCTGTAGATTTCTTAATGGTTTTATATTTTTCCAACAGCTTATGTTTGCGTTATGGTCATGAGTGCATAGTTTCTAACCCGATATAGGAGATATAAACACTTGTCCCTGCACATTTACAATCATTTTGCTACCATGTCCATATACAAACAGGGACTACACTTTGAAATACTGTGAAAAAAGTATGTAGGTTAGAAACGTTTTAGATGCGCTAGTATAAGGTGTAAACATCTAACAAAATTGCTAAGAAAAATTATGTAAACATTGAATCTTATATTTGTAATCCGTGAAAAACACTGGAAAGCATGTCTGTGAAGCTTGATACATGAGTTGTTTGGTGACTTGAAATCATCTGAAACAAGCTTAAGCATGAACAGCATTTGGCAACTCACCATGATCTGGCATCCAGTCTTCATAATTTCTATTTTATACAAAGTCATTACATCACCAGGGATGTAAAAGAGCAATTAACATCAAGTAATGATGCTAAATGTCAAGTGGATTTGGACATGTACAATCATAAACAGTGCCTCTGGGTATGTACCAGAAAACAACAATTTTGTATGTCTAACCAGTACATACACATACCTTCTGTGTTTTCCCTAAGACAGGCGGCAAGAGACTCATGCATTTTTGTGAAGTTGCTCCAGCCTGAAAAAGAAATAAAATGCTAGACATTATTGATTAATTTGTTAAATATTCAGGATTGGTAAAGCAGCAGTCCTTACCATCATGCCATTTATGTGAATTCCAAGAAACATGCACATCAAATCACTTTGTTCAATCAACTTACTGATTTATTCAAATGAAAAGGGAATGTGAGAGAAGAGGAAAAAATACAACAACACATAATTGTTGAAAGCTCAGAATGCATCAGTAATTCAAAGTTTTGTGGCTGAGCAAAAATAGTGATAACATTACAAAAATGTCACCAATTTCTTCCCCAAAACTACAAAATATCACAACCTGCTGGATTTCATTTGAAACCAATGTAAAGGGCAAGGGAAAACGCATGATTTCCTGCTGAACCACTCTGACAGGAATCAAATTGTGGGGAAGAGGGTTAATTGTCCTTAGCGGAATACGTACAAATCAGGTGTTGTACCAACTTCGTTCAGGTGAAAATTGTGTTATATCTAATCTGTCAAAACAGAAAGCTTCGACAAACTTATTCTATATTACGAAAAATAATATCATAAGCTAATGGATGTGAGTCTTGCGAAATATTACCTATTTACAAGTACTTGTGAACGTGAATGTGCTTATTTATTCAAATATGGTAAGCTAATTGAGAGTAAACCATTCAATCAACCTCTTAACTTGAGAGAAATGTAATGAAATGTTTAAACGTGCATTTCACAAAACGTTGAGAATTTCGTTGCATTTTCCTTGCTTGAAATAGAAAGACACACGCATAAACGATAAAATGATGTCAAACCTGCATATAGTCAACCCGTGTTAGATTTAATTCCATCATTTTGACTGCCTTGATGGAAACACAACGATACCGGAAGTTCTGTTGGAATGTATACCTCATTCGGAGTAAATCACCGGGGAAGGGAATTAATTATTTCTAGTAATATCTATTAGTAATTGTATACCATTTCTTTAAACGAATTAGATCACGATAATTTATCTGAATAATTGAAGATTATTTCGATGTATAGCTTTGTAATAGTTTCTGCGTTATATCGGATGTGACGCATCAATGTACCAGAGTTTGGCGGTAGATTACAAACTTCGCAGGGGTGAAACGCAGGACTTCACGAATAATTTCAACGTGTTTTTAATACATACAGACATTCGGTCAAATAATTGTCTGTGGAAATTACAATGTAAAAATAGCTCTGTTTAACCCATCAACAGAGTTTGGGATATGTAAATCGTTTTATCATAGTATCGACATTTCTGGAGTAGTACACAGTGCGAGTTACGTATGTAGGGACCATTGGATACTAGTTCTGCATTATCCCGTTGACGGACTTATAAAAAACCAAAATGGCCGACAGTTGGTCATCTTGAATTTAGACATTGAAATTTTGACTGCTATTTATGGAGAAGTACTGAATGGATCTTTTTATATAGGCTTCCTTTAGTCCGTCCCAGGTTGTGGCCTTTTGATACTGACAGGCTACTATCTCTTATTTGATAGTGTAATAAATGTGACATCATGAGTTATTTCCCTTTAATAAGAAATTAGAGTAATTAGAGTTATCTCCCGGGTTTACTTACTTAATATTAATTTCCAGCACAAGTTCGTTAAGGATCTTCTTCGCTGGACTCATAAGAATTGTTATTGTAATTATTATTATTATTTGAAATGTCACCTGCAGTAGTTATACATATTGTTCCTTTTTAGTCGTCATACTTTATTTCCTGCCCATTCCACCTTGTTTTTGAAACTGTTTAGTGTATTGGAAGTTACAATGTGGTCAGACAAACTGTTCCGTACAGCTGTTGGTCAAATGGAGAAGGAGCTTTTCCATAATGATGTTCTTGCATGTTTTTGGTATATTTTCAGTGAGTTACTTTTTGTTCTGGATCTCTCGGAGGTATCAAACCACATCCTTATAAACTGTGTTGCCCCCTCATCATATTTGCCTCTAACTGCCTTGTAAATCTCTATCATATCACCTTGAAAACACTTGTAGGTAAGGGTTGGCAGTTTCAGCATCTTTAATCTTTCCAGATACAACAGATTTCCCATTCCAGGTAGTTGTTTTGTTGCCCTCCTTTGGACACCTTTCAGTTGCTCAATATGTTTCATTTGTAGGGTTTCCAAACAGCACTGGCATATTCTAAGTTGGTTCTTAAAAGTGATTTGTAGAGTGGAATAAATAACTCAGAGTTAAGAAACTTGAAAGTTCTTCTGATCATGCCAAATATTGCATTTGTATCTTTTCACTGATATCGTTGTCAAAGGTAAGTTCTTTGTTGAAAATTACTCCCAAGTTCTTTCTCGTCTTCAACTTCTCCAAGGGTTGTGTTGTTCAGTACGTAGGGGGTGTTTTCTGTTTTTATGCTTTCCAATGTGCATGAACTCACACTTATCTTCATTAAATGAAAGCAGTCAAGTCTTGTTCCATTCAGAAAGTCTGAACAGGTCTTCCCGTAAAGATTTCTTATTTCCTTCAGACTTAATAACTTGGAACTTTTTTGAGTCATCAGCAAATAAGTATACAGTTGAGTCCACCTTCTCTGTCAAGTCATTTATGTAAATGACGAACAAGAGCGGCCCAAGCACCGACCCCTGAAGTATTCCAGATGTCACTTGGCCCCATTCAGATGTTGCTCCATTGACTATTACTCTCTGTTGTTTATTGTACAGAAAGTCTTTCAACCATGTATGAACCACGCCATTTATCCTGTATGCTTTTAATTTATTCATTAGTCTGAGATGAGGGACCATGTCAAAAGCCTTCCTAAAGTCTTAGGTATATACATTCCACATCTAGGGCATTGTCAAGGGCTTTTGTACGTTCTTCTAACACATTTATAAGTTGCAAGGCTGTAGACCATCCTGACATAAATACATACTGCTTGTTAATAACAATGCGTTGGCAAATATATGCTTGGTGTTATATGATCTGAGGAGCTTTTCCATGATTTCACATACTATTGACGTAAGACTTATGGGTCTGTAGTTTCCAGCTAAGGAAACACTTCTTTTATTGTGGATAGCACTAATATTAGCACTTTGCCAAGCAGTTGGGATCTTTCCTGTTTTCAGTGACTGCCTGAATAGTCTGGTTAATGGGATCTTGACAGTGTCTGCTGTCTCCTTAATAAACCATGGGTGTATACCACCTGGGCCTGGGGACTTATCTGGGTTTAATCCTTTCAGCAATTTTCTGACCTTGTCTTCAGTTGTCTCCATACTTTCTAATGGTGTACGTGTGTTCTTGTCTTCAAGACGTGGTACCTCCTCTTCTGGCTCTACCGTAAACACGCTGCCAAAGTATTTTTGAAGAATGTTTGCATTTTTTATGTTGTTACTAGTGTTTGCAGATATCGGGTCTGTAGGGTCTGTGCATAGATCTCCAATTCCAGCCTTAGTCTTGCTTTCTGAGTTGACATACTGCCATATCGCTTTAGGATAAGTCTTGATGATTTTTGAGATATTTCTTTCAAAGTTTTTCCTGGCCTTCCATGGATTCTGTGTGCTTGGTTGGCCATATTGCGCCTCGAGTGACCTGCTAAAAATAAAAGCATGTTAACAGCCTTCTGACTCTGCTTCGTGATTACTTCAAGTGACGACGAGGACAAACAACATTCCTAGGAACCGAAATGATGCATGTGATGGCGACTTTTGGTAAAATTGAGGAATTCAAACCAGAAGGTGAGGAATGGGTGCAGTACTCTGAGCAGTAAGAACATTATTTCATAGCAAATGACATAAATACAGAGGAGAAAAAGAAAGATATTCTGCTCTCAGTATGTGGAGGGAAAACATGCAAGTTAATGAGTAATCTCACCCCCACCAAGCCTGATGATATGACATTTGATGAGTTAAAAACATTAATGCAGAACCATCACCATCCAAAACCAAGCGAAATCATACAGAGACTGAAATTCAATAGTAAATTTCGGCAATTGGGGGAGATTTTTGCTATGACGCGTGTTGGAGGACTGTAACTTTGGGGATACACTTGAAACAATGTTACAGGATCATATTGTTTGTGGGACAAACGACGACTGTATCCAGAGGCGATTATTGGGAGAAACCAATCTGATGTTTCAGAAGGCATTTGATTGGGCAAAAGCCATGGACTGACAACTAAGAGCTCAGCTGACATTCAAAGTCAAGGACACGTTAATAAGGTTCAGCAATCTAATGATAGAGTTCGGGGAAATAAAGCCCTAAATAAGACTATGAGGCAAACCGGAAGTGGTAAGTCCTACACAAGTCCGAGGAATACACAACACATGAAGGCTGTCACAGATGTGGAGGTAAGCATCACGCCCAGGAATGTAAATTTAAGGATGAAGAATGTAGACTTTGCAAGAAAAAAGGTCATATCGCTCATAAATGTTGAACAAAGATAAAATTTAATAAAGCTCCAAAGAAGGAACAGAGGAAACAGCACTACCTCGAGACCGGTCAGAAATGTACAGGAACTAATGAGTATGGTTCTATGTTTCACATGCTAGGGGAAGGACACCCTCAGTATGTATTGAAGGTCACTGTGTTGATTGAAGATGTTCCCATTGAAATAGAGCTTGACACAGGGGCATCAGTAACTGTGTTTAACAAAACCACATGGAGGAAGTTAGAGGACCGAGGATTACTTAAAATGAAGCTATCTGCTGTAAAGCTCAAGACATATACTGGTGAGCTTATGTCTGTGATGGGTGAGACAACAGTTAATGTGAAATACAACAACCAGACCGCTTTACTCACAGTTGTGGTAGTAGAAGGTAAAAGCCCTCATTTGATGGGAAGAGACTGGCTTGGTAAGATCAAATTAGACTGGGAAAACAATTTCGATGTTCACAGAGTGAAAAAGGACACAATGGGAGTCAAGTTGGAACAGGAAAAGATATTTAGTGACTACCCGGAGGTATTTCAGGAGGGATTAGGAACAGTGAAAGGAGTTAAAGCAAAAATCTATGTAGACTCGGGAAGCATCCCCAAGATATTTCAAGCCAAAATGAGTCCAATTCTCTGAATGGGCTGCACCAATTGTGCCTATTGTAAAAAAGACGGGTCAATCCGAATCTGTGGTGACTATAAAATGACGGTGAATGGGGTCATTCAAGCTCGATAACTAACTGATCCCAAAGATAGAAGACTTATATGCCACATTTAGTGGAGGGGAAGAATTCAGTAAACTTGATTTAAGTTAGGCCTACCAACAGCTAGAACTTGGGGGAATCAAAGAAGTATGTTACCATAAACACTAACAAGGGTATATACTAGTACAACCAGTTACCATTTGGAGTATCAGCCCCTGGAATCTTTCAAAGAGCCACGGAAAACCTCTTGCAAAGAAATTCACATGTTATGGTAAGGGTGGACAATATTGTAGTCACAGGTGGAAGTCGAGAAGAACATCTTAAGAACTTGAATGAAGTACTTGACAGAATCATGAACTTAGATTTAAGGGAACTGAATGGAGATGGGGAAAGGAACAACAATTAGCTTTCAAGAAGTCGAAGGATCTGTTAGTTTCTGCTAGAGTGTTGGTGAATTTTGACTTGAGTAAACCCATTGTACTGTGCTGTGATGCTTCGCCCTATGGGGTAGGAGAACTTGTCATGGAACAATTGGAGGAAAAGCCAGTCTATGCTAGACAAATAAAGGAGTGGAAGGGACAAAACCCTCTCGTATGTGAAGTCGGGGAGAGAGACCTTATTTTTCAATCGGAAATGAGCTCAGTGTGGAGGGATGGATATCTATTAAGAGGCAGTCAAGTTGTCATTCACCTCAAGGGACAAGCACAGATCCTAGAAATACTTCATAAGGGGCACCCTGGGACTAACCGGATGAAGAATTTGGTTCGCGGTTATGTATGGTGGCCTAAGATTGATGGTGGATGTAATGTCCGGACAAAAAGCGTTCAATCGGAAACCACGTGGACACGGGGAGGGATCTACATCCATTAGATGGAAGAAATGGAAGGAACGTTTTGACATTCTTCTAATAGCGATGGATGTTACAGAAAATAAACCACGTCAACAAAGCTCTATTACTACACTACGCAGGGGAGGAAGTACAGGATATTTTCAGCACGCTCCCATTAGCTGAGCCAGAAGCAGGTGATTAGTTCGATGTATATAAACAAGCCACTGGTGCACTTGAGGCGTATTTTACACCAAAGAAAAACCTTGAATACGAACGACACAAAAAGAAGGGGAGGATATTATGACGTACTGTACAAGACTACGTAAACTTGGTCAAAACTGTGAATTTTCCAAGATCGAGGAGGAGATTAAGTCTCAAATCATTCAATCCTGCTCTTCCACTGGTTTAAGAAGACACATTTTAAGGGATGATGAAGTGTCCTTAGAAAACATCCTAAAACTAGCATGTGCTCTAGAACTGAGTGATGAACACACCAAAGATATAGAGGAAAAGCCAGAACAGATCCATGCTATAAATAGAGGCCATGGTAGACAGAAAGAAATAAAGAATACAATCAGGAAACAAGGTTACATTAACAAAAGGAACAGACATACAGACGCTAGAGACAAAGAGAAAAACACAAAATGTTATCGGTGTGGAGGGAGCTACCCACATCAAGGACAGTGTCCAGCAAAGGGTAAGAAATGTAATTTCTGCCAGAAGATGAACAATTTCGGTAAGGTGTGCAAGTCGAAGAAAAAGGGGTCAATCAACAGAGTAGAGACAAGTGTAAACATCAACACCGGAAAAGAGTCAGACTCGGACTCTGATGATGCATATATTTTTTATGTCAACTCCAGAGGGTAAGTCAGCACAACCCAAGGCTGCTGTTTTCATACATAACACCTTAATGGATATAGTTGTTGACACAGGAGCAACTGTTGATATTCGAGATGAAAGGACTTTACAGAAAATCAAGGACAGACCACAACTAAGAAAAACAAACACAAATCTATACCCGTATGGGTCTTGTGATCCCATGAACATAATCGAAACATTTGACAGTACAATCAGGTCAAGAGCCACAAAAGGGGACACCAAGATAACAGTTTACGTGGCAAAAGGGAATTTTGGTTCACTCTTGAGTTATTCTACAGCAGTAGCCCTGTCAATAATTCCCACCATTCAAGTCATCACAAAATCAGAAACCGATTCAATCCTGGAGGAATACAATGACAGATTTGAGGGTATTGGTAAGATTAAAGATGTCCAAGTAAAGATACACATAAACAATGATGTCCAGCCCAAGACGCAACCTCATAGAAGAATACCTTTCCATATGAGAAGGAAAGTAGAGGCAGAGCTCAAGCGTTTAGAGGACCAAGATATAATAGAGAAAGTGGACGGTCCCACACCCTGGGTGTCTCCAATTGTTGTTGCACCGAAACCAAAGAATCCAGAGGAAATAAGGATTTGTGTTGATATGAGACTACTAAACGAGACAGTACAGCGTGAAAGGCACATCACGCCGACAATCGATGATATATTAGTTGACCTAAATGGCGCAACAGTATTTTCCAAACTTGACTTCAATTCTGGATATCATCAACTGCAACTAGCACCTGAGTCAAGATACATAACTACATTTACGACACATGTAGGCCTTCGCAGATACAAAAGACTCATATTCTGTATATCTTCGGCATCGATAAAGTTTCAAGCCACAATCTGAGACTGTCTTGAAGGATTAGATGGCACAAGAAACATAAGTGATGACATCATCATATTTGCGAAAGATCAGCAAACCCATGACAGGTGTCTAACAAAGGGAAATAGAGTTCTTCGGCTACACGTTTTCGAAAAAAGGAGTTTCACCAGACCCAAGGAAGGTCGAAGCCATCCAGAAAGCCGAACCGCCTAAAAGTCAAGCTGAGGTTCACAGTCTCCTCAGACTCGCAAACTATGTCTCAAGATTTATCCCAGATTTCGCCACAATCACCGAACCTATACGCTGGTTAGCCCACAAGACAGTGAAATGGGGAAAAGAAGAAGAGGAATCTTCAAAGTTGCTGAAGGAGAAACTGATTGGTGAAGCTATGGGCTATTTTAACCCTAAGAAAAAGACAAAGGTCTTTGTGGATGCAAGCCTTGTTGGCCTTGGTGCATTCTCACTCAAGACAACAAGATAATACAGTACGCAAGCAAAGCTTTAACAGATTATCACCGTCTCAAGCTCTCTTTGGACGCAACATTCGTACCAAACTTCCTGAGCTTCCGAACAAGCAACCAAAGCTCATAGACATACACCAACGCGACGAAGTAGCAAAGCAAAAGATGAAACGGTATGCGGATCGTGGAGCAATCAGTTCGAACGTTGATCTTGGTGATCACGTGTTAGTGAAGGTGAAACGTGAGAACAAGCTCTCAACACCATATGATCGCGACCTGTACGAGGTGATCGGCATGAAAGGAAACCAGATCACAGCAAGACGTGGTGCTGGAAAAGAACATATTATAACCAGAAATTCTTCCTTCTTCAAAGAGGTAGAGGGAGAAAGAGGAGTAACAAGTATTCCAGACTCTTGCCAAGATCGCGAACTCGAGGAATTGTTTGAGTCCTTGAAAAACAACTCTAAAACTGGTCAACCTTAGTCGGATTTGAACACTGAACCTCCTGTGGACTTGAACCAAAGACCTCAAGTTGATGCTCCCCGACGCTCTCAAAGAAACCGGCATCGACCCAACCATTTGAATGACTTTGTAAATAGACTGTTAAAATAGATTCCTAGAATAAGGACCTGGTAAATACTTCAACAAACGGCAAAATAATCCCTGGTATTTACCTATAGGCAGGTAGTATACCCAAGCCTATTATGATAGTTCTTATAAGATTTGTTGTGTTTCTAGTCAACGTTAGTTGTTATCGTTAATAATATTACAAAAGTTTTGTCAACGTTAAACAAGTTCTTCATTCACTTCAAGGTTTAATATGATTAACGCTTCTAATCATGATTAGTGATTAACAACAATGACATTATTTTCCAGTTCATAGTTTAATAGTTGAAAAATTGTACATCATGACAGTTAAAGGTAACATGTAATTTCTTTGAACAAAAGGAGAGATGTAATGTCCGGACTGCCCGACTCCGGCTCTTAGGTAATTAGGACTCCCGGGTGGTGTAATAGTCTCGTTCGGAATACAGATAGCAAGATGTCGACATGTGGTTTGTTGTTCATGGAATCATAATAACACAGAACACTACAGTGACCTTGAAGAGGACCACCACTAGAAGCATATTTGCACTCCTGGGATTGGCCCAACCTGCCCTGGGAAAGAATATACATTGACTATGCAGGACCATACATGGGGAAAAAGTTCCTCGTGGTCATTGATGCGCACTCAAAATGGATTGAGGCTGTTCCAACAGTTCTGCATCGTCCGCAACAATAGAGAAATTAAGGGATATTTTTGCCACACATGGACTACCGGAAATGGTTGTGAGTGATAACGGATCATGCTTTACCAGTCAAGAATTCGACATGTTCATGAATGAAAATGGAATCAAGCATGTTAAAAGCACCCCACATCATCCAGCTTCTAACCGGTTAGCTGAACGAGCCGTGAAAATCCTGAAGGATGGTCCTAGGAAACAGACAGGAGGAACAATCGAACAAAAAAACGCCAACTAGAGCACCAGTTCATGGGACACCTTAGGATTTCCCATCCCTATTGGAGTGTTCCAGTTCCAGATAAGTAGGGAAGAAGTTGTGTGTTGTGTAAGGGCAGAATGACCACTTCAACCTCTTGAAATATGGAGTAGCCTACTTCTATTTCTAGTCGTTATGATACAAGGTCCTATCGTTATATTATGTTTAATGCTTGTTCGCTGTTATGATCATTCTCAAGGAAGAGAATCAAATGTTAACATTGCACAATGCTTCAGTATTTAAAAAAAGAAACACATCGTTTCAAAATCACTTCTGTTTAAACACTTGCGAGATATGAATGTTCACAACTGACATCTCAATGCAGCTTATGATTATCGGATATGGATTACAGTAGATATAAGTGGATACAAGCAGCGATCCTGCTGATATTTGCTGTTCAAGTTATATGCTTTTTACCAAGCAGAAACATCGATACATTATCTGATACCATAACCCACCTGGAAATCACAAGAGAAGGCATATCGAAGGCAGTGGCCAATTTTCTGATTGATCGTCGACTTGTGAATGGGACCTTTTGGGAATTTTACGATGTCCTTGACGCTTATTTTGGATCAGGTTGGTATATTCAATGCACTGAACAGAATGAAAACATATAAATGTAACCCTGGTAAAATAATAGCCGCAATATACCACTCGGCAAGAGAGAACTTCTCCAGCTCGATTGGTTGAGCGTCAGACTTGCAAACCAGGGGTCTCGCGTTCGATTTCTAGCGGAGTCATTGAAATAAATGATGACCTCTGTTACATAAAGTTTATCAAAATATATGAATACACGGTATTGCGTTTGTTGGTTCTGCGGTTTAAATTGAAAGTAACATATCTTGATCGTTAATGTATTTCTCGGGAAAGTTTGAGGAGATCCACTATGAAGCGACTTCCTACATTCTGGAATACTGTTTGTTGTGATATTTGACCGGTTGATTTTCATTCTTACTGATTGAGTCTTCCTTGTACTGATTTTCAGGTTATTCGCCATTTTGGCTCCTATTTTATTGAAATCGGTTTTTGCGAGTCTGTGAATATCGAACAGTTGCGTTAGGTGACGACACATCATTCTCGTTATTGTCATGTTAAATTGTGCGACTTAAAATATATGTATATAAGAGGTGGAATTAAGTATACACCTATCTACGTTTGGTAATTGTATATTTCCAGCCAGCTTTTGGACAAAACGACAAGAACATAATCATAATCCAAACTCAAATTCAATTAAACTAGGGACAAATGTAAACAAAAAAAGATTTGCACTTAGACTAATGAAAAGTACAAGGAGAAAAAGGCCAGGTTTTCCTGAAGAGTAAACGTCTTCTGCTTCATGGATAACATCCACTATGTAAATCGTGGTCAATCCAAGTTAATGATGTCACGTTCTCAAATGAGAACAAGGAGCACAAGTACACATATCCAATTCAACACACTAAGAACAATGATGACGCGTTGTCAATTTCAAATGTTGACACAAATCCTTTGCCGTTTTAAATTGACACTTGTCGTCGGTAAAAGATATGGTCTTACATGATTAAGACACCAAGACAACAAAAACTTAAAATTGATGAAACGATTATGGAAAAAATAGAAAACAACGGCACTCACTCCCCACCCCGAAAAAAACCCTTTAAACAGTATACGGAGATTACGACCAGGTGTTCCTGAAAGGTGACCTATGTTTCATCGATGACACCCACCAAGTAAACCTGTCACGTCACATTCCGATATAAAGTCAATATGTTAATATTTACGAAATCGTTAGGATTGCTGAAATATCTTTTTTTAGTTCTGTTGAAACATAAGGGTTTGATTGCCGCAGATCTTTTTAATGTTTTTTTAGGAAATACATTTGATGAGACGTAAAAGTATATTGAATCAATACTCGACGAAAATTAGTATTTTTTATGTTATAGATACTGACCGCAATGAAAAGTTCAACGAACGAATAAAGGATTTAACGGCACGTCTACATTCAGTGCAGCGAAACAAGGGTGTAATGGCTATGTATACTGTAAATGGAGAACGTATAGAAGATGGTAAGTATATACATGTGATGTGATGTATTCAATGATTGTACAAATAACGCACAAGTGAACAACACCTTTTAATACAAATTTACAGCTAAATAGAGTAGAGACTATGAATCAAACTGCATCGCACAGCTGTTTAGTCCTTCTAGAACTCGTTAGGGATGCTGAGGGTGAAAATTTGGAGGTCGACTGGGAAAAATTCAGTGATCAAAGGAATAGCCAGTCCCCAGACCGTGTGGTGTACTGGCTCCATAAATCAATAAATTTCGTAAATTTCATAAATAGATTGTTTTAAAACAACGCCAGCTTCATGTTGATATTCTGAACAGTGCATCTACTCGATCTGAAGGTACGGTAAATCTCGGGGGGCTAAATGCCCACCAGCAGTGTCTTCCACCTGTGATCTCGAAGATTCAACAATATACACTCATGTCAATATGATATTTTAGTGCAAATTTAGAGTTAGATACAGTAGAGCTAAACAAAGAATTAAAATGCATGTACTCTCAATATTAGCCCGCTCCTTTTCTATAATATCCATATGCCAAAATAACAGCCTACTGGTCACATTCAAGCAAACGACATCTTTTAATATAATCAATAGATTTTGATTGTCATCGGACAGTTAATTGGTAAACGACTAAGCTTTGAAATAAATTGGCCATATTTCGTTTCAGATATTTTTGGGTAAAGTGAACTCAATTTCTATGTAAAGCAAATATATATATATAACTGATGCTGTAGTATGTTATTTTTATCTATTTTAATTTTTTCGACATTCCTTATATAAAATACAGACACATTGATAAAATCGTTACACATGAGGACATATACATTACATTGTAAAACTGGATCAGGAAAACTTGACAACATGCGGAAGTTCTGTTTGGTTGGTTGAGAAATATATCCAATGGACACCAAGAGCATTACGTAATGATTGCTATGTATTCATCCTTTCTGTTGTAAGCACACTTGTGATGTATCGTGACCTTGTTGTGTAATTAAGTTATTTTTATCCAAATAAGTGAAACATAACATCGTAAAAAGATGATTGAAAAGACAACATATGGAGAAGATTCTAGACATGAAATAGTTTTTTGGACTTCAGTTGTTCGGCTATACAATATGCCTTCAAGGGAGAAATATGAGTAGTCACATTGTGGGACAGTTCGGATAAGATACAATACGAAGAAAACAGCAACAAAAAAACTTTCAATGAAACACCACTTAAGAACAAGGAAGTGATGAAACAAATACATGGCAGAGATGTCCCTTTCCTCAATAAACTTGTACCTTGAACCTTATATACACAGACATCATCGATACTCCAGGGGTTACGCTCACTATCGCTCGCTGGAACATGTCAAGTGCAACACATTTTAGACAAAACGATAAGGACTAAATTGATCCTTTGACGTATCAAAACAGGTCACAAAAACCTTGCCAAGTCGTTTAATTTCACCTTCAGATATATTGGTGACGTCTATAAATAACAAGAAATTTATTGACTACGTCCATATATCCACCAAAATTTGAAATAAAAGATACGGACATACTCTTCTTTATCAGCTGCTTATCTCGATCTTTTCCTACAATAAAACCAATTTCCATCAAGCTGCATGATAAAAGTAATGATTTCATTTTCACTATTGTTAATTTTCCATTTCTGGTTAGCAATAACCTTCGTCTCCAACTCATAGTATTTACATATCATAGTTTATTCGATATTCAAGGGCCTGTTACCATTATAACAATTTTCCTGCAAGAAATCATCAACTGCTGACAAATTCGTAACATAAGGGTTCAAAAGATGAAGGTTGATGAAAATTATGGGGGAGTTTTATGGTCGCCATAATTATACCATTACGAAATGTTATATTTCTTTGTATGACATATTTGTGGACATATTTGACGTTCGTTAGTTTCCCTGTTGGTTCGGTTGTTGTATACCTTGCTCTCATTTGAGAACGTGGCATGACTTATATGGATCGACCAAGGTTTACATGCCGGGCGTCATCGATGAAGCAGAAGACGTATGTTCTTCCGAAACACCTGGTCATATTGTCCTTGTACTTTTTCGGGAGTCTCCGTGTTAATCTCTGTTTTGTTCATATTTTGCCCTAGTTTTCTGGAATTTGAGTTTGAATTATGATGATGTTTCCATGTTGATATTTTCATGAACCTTTATGTACATCAAATGAATCTCGAGGTCGCAAAACGTTATGTTGTAATGGCTTTGAGTTATGTGTCGCTCCTTTGTAATCTCCAAAAGAAGCGTACTCCTACAACCAAACAAAATACATCGCCTTTGCCTTCAATTTTGACATGACATATTCAACATGTACAAAGAGCGGAAGTTATTGTATGTTGATACGCAGGTATATTTTCCTTTCTTTAAATGTGAATATTTGATATCTTATGATTGGCTGTCACAAATTTAGCGTTCATTGTTTGATTACTGATATCTCATACACCTGCATACACATTACGAACTGCTTCAGATCCTGTTTGCTTCTATTTGTTACCATAAATGTAAAGATAAGTAATATTAATTTTCCAATAAGAACTGTTTAGTTTAGATGAATTAATAAACGACGGAATTGTAGCAATGATTATCAATGGTCTACTTTCTTTGTAAATATATTTTAGAAACAACCAGGTAGATGACAAAGCGTGTTACTGTATATCTGATTTGGCCATACATTTAAAATTTTCATTTGAATGATGTACATTGAAAAATATGGTATTATTATATGAAAATAATGCATTCCTAATCTAGGGTCGATTAGGAGATCTTTCTACCGAAAAAATGTTTGATGAACATAGGTGAGAGGGGTAATTATCGAATGTCTTCAATTTGACGAACAAACTCACAACACAGGTTTTGAGCCCGGATGGTGAAAACAGTTGGGAAGTTTTATGGTCGTCATAGTGATCGCATTGAGAAATGTTTTATTTCTTTGTGCGATATAAAGCTGGACATGTTAGATACTTGTTAAATTGTCTGTTTATTCTTATTTGAGAAAGCGATATTATCGTCAATGAAGCAGAAGACGTTTACTCTTCCTGAATACCAGGCCTTATTCTTCTTATACTTTTTCAAGAGTCGCCGTGATATTGTATATCTATAAATATCAGTATAATTTCAAGCCAATTATCATGTCTGATTCTGGAAAATAATAGCAACGTTGTGTTATTGTATAGAACGAGTAACTTTTCGTATTTTAACCATTATTACCGAAAAAAGAATGTTGACTGAAATTCGATGACTATTGCTTTGGCTTCATAAAAGGTAGACGGCGGTATAAAGGCCGAGACAAACTCTTCCACATCAGCTGATTTACAGTGATCTTTACCTACAACAACACCAACAGGACATCTGTCAAACAAAATGTACGAAAGCGTAATGATTTCAATCTTTCATACCCAGAGAGCAACATGCGTGCACCCAACTTATAGTGCTTATATGCCGAAGTCGATTCGATATTCAAGAGTTGGTGATTCCGCTGTTGTTGGGAGAAAGATGAGAACATGACATTACTAACTTGTATTGACCAAGATTTACATGACTTGTTACGTCGTAGAAGCAGAAGACAGACGCTTAACTTTCTAGAACACCTGGTCGGATACTCCTTGTAAGTAGGAGAAGTCTCCGTGCAAGTCTTTTTGTTCATATCTTGCTGTAGTAGAAATGTATTTGAGTTTGAATTAAGAGTCTGTCGACTTTGGGTATTTTGATAGCTCTTTTCGTGTTAATGAGATAAATATTGATAAGTTAGCAGATTACGAAGAACAAGGACTGCAACGTAACACAGTCACTTAGTAAAACTATGTTGAAGTAAGACGTGTATTTAGTGATTATCCGATCATATTATGTACAACACATGTACAAATACCACATATATAGTGATGATGCTATATGGGACAGGAGATATTGACAAATTGGGGGCAAACAAACAGGGTCGTACGAAAATTATCACATTGTCGTAGAGTTTGTTTTCATTTTGCAATAAGGATATTCAAATCAGCTGATTTAGTTATTTTTTTCATGGGCAAATCGACATTGCATGTTGCCAGAGAAAAAACATCACGAATATAAATATATGAGTACTTAATGTGTATTTAAATAGGATTACATGTTTATTAGGAATGCATGGTCAGTGTCTTAAAAAATAAGCTGTATTTTGGTGAGGGTGAAAAAAGACAAATGTGGCGAGCCTCTGTATTCTATTTACCATGCAACATTGACTGCAAATCACACCTTAAATCTAAAACAGTTTTTTTTGTTCAATCCGTGTTTACCTGACGTTGACGTTACGCTGAATTTTGCCTAATGACGTACGCCAAAATAATTGTTCCGCGCAGAAATATCGTTCCAAACTTCAAAGGACATGACAGCGGTTTTATGAATTTTCGTACACGTACTTGTTCATTACAACATATAAAGTCACTAACTTCAATAGTTATTTTCATTCTTAAATGTGATTTTAAAGTAAATTCAGAAATCAATTCCATGAATTTCACACACGTGCTGTAATACAGCTGTTTTCCGTCACTGCCGAACACAGCAAAAAATATGTGGCAGGTGTATTGATTGCAGGACAACATACTGAGAGCTGCCAGTTTAAAAATGCCGTATACATTATGATTAACGTCTTTGTGTTGCTCATTATTTTTATGTTCGCAAAATTACAATAAATGTTACTCACTGAAGCAGAGCAGTCTCCAAGTACCAAACTGGTCAAGTAAAATTTCCGTTTCTTGTTCTAGAGGATTCTAGATTTCGGCTTTGGAAATTTTCAGACGGTAGTCATTCATTGTCCATTTCACCTAATGTATGTACATGGACGAGATCATGTGACAATGAATAAATACTGACCTTTCAACGAGTGTTTGTATAGCACAAAGATGATGACAAAACGAATTCGACAAATATACATGTGTGTGAACTGAATGTCAAGCATAGTGCCAACCAGAAGATCAGAAAGAATTCGTGTTTTTAGTGTGGGTAATAGATTAATTTTTAACCAGGTAAGAGACGGAAAAAATAATGATATAAGGATCCTGTATAAGTTTTCCCTTGTTGGCAATGACCGACATATTCTTTCCCGAGATGCATGTTTGGTATAAGTTGGTAAGCTCCACCTTGACTCCAATCAAAGAATATATACACAATTGTAACAGGGAGTGCTGTTGTCTTTAACTTTCTTATTAATACAAAAAATAAACTTTGATTCTATGATTCTAGCGTTCAACCTATTGATAAGGCTGTCTGCACAGATTCGCATACTGACCTCTGTAGAGCCCTTCAGCACCGACAAACAGCAGAGCACGTTGAATTTATTGGCTGAGGCTTTATTCGTTATACAGTCGTTCTACAGCAATACAAACTGGGTGGAATCAAATGGAGCTACGTTATGTCCTGCATTTGGTGGGTATTATAAATTCAGCTTTATATCATGTATTGTTATAGTTCGAAAGAGAAAGGACAAATCTATATCGTATGTTTCTCTCTTAGGTCAGTAAGTACGCACACTACATGAAAAAAAAATTGAAAATAGAGCCTTTCACTCTGAATTGAAAAGAAAAATTGTTTTGGTATATTTTGAGAATAAAGATAGGAAATCTACTAAGAAATTTAAGAAACAATTCATTGGCCTAAAACTACCTAAATATGATAACAGCGAACGTTAATGACTGTTTAACCTACTAAAAAGGCCTTACCGTGCAGCTATCTCAAAATATCACACACGTAATATCTAAGATACGCAATGCTCTGTTAGTTATTTAAGTGTTGTCATCACTTATCATTGATGTGGTTGTTGATTATATCTTTAAGCTCGATTGTATTTCATACAGGCGGTAATTCTATACAAATACCAACTGTTGCACGTTACAATGATCCCACATGCAGTGACTGCGATACGTCATCAAGGTAATGTTGAAAACTGTGAAGTAAAGCTTAGAGATACGAATTACAATAAACTAATACGTGATAAAGAAAGGAGGTGTGAATTTGTAAATGCACTTTATTCCTTTGCTTGTTACATTGACGTCATTATTATTCAATCTTATATGACAAGTGAATCACGGTGCGCTAAAATGAATTATTATGAACTATAAGAAGTTAATCGGTATAAACAACTATGTTTTTATTGAGAGAGAGAGAGAGAGAGAGGGGGGGGGGGGGGGGGGGGAGAGGGGGAGAGAGGTCACTTCATCCGGGTTATTTCACTGTTCGTCATTGAAAGATTTATTTAATTTAAATTTAAAAGTTAGTTTGGAATGAACAGTTTTTTTTATTAATTAAAGAAAGTGATAGAGCAAAACAATGAGTAGTATACAATCGACATAATAGATTAAAGATTATGCAAAAGACAATCTCGTGAATAACACCTTTTAATAATCTGGAATTAGATACAGTAGAGCCAATGAATTAAGTTGCATTATACAGCTGTGTCGTCATTCAAGTCTATGGGCCTAAATTTTGAAGCCTAGGAGACGACTAATTAAAATCCAAAGTGATCGAAAGAAAAGTAAAAATCTAGAGTGCCTCAGCCCCATAATAATCAATAAATTTCGTAATTTTCACATATCAGATAATTTTGGAACAGCGTTATGTACATATATATATTCCGAATCGTGCCAATATTCCAATGAATCAAGACGCGCCATGCAATACTGACTCTGTCACGAGCTAAGATGTCGCAGACAACCTATGTAGTGGCACACAAATTGGACCTAAAAAACGTGGAGTTTTTACAGGTACGTGTAAACTTTGTAAAATGTCTCCGTATGATCATATAATCTAATAGTGACGATGTAAATGCATGATCCTATAAATACTTATTTGATTATTTTCTTTCACAGAGAATGTCGAAACAACATTATCACCTCTTTTTTAACTAGCGGTTACAAACCTGGGCAGGATGTATCTTTACCGAGTTGTAAGTTAAAAGAATTTCTAAAACGCCTGACAATATCTTCTTTGAACACTTTTAAGGTTGTAGCTGATTATTACATTGATAAGAATATAACTTGACCGATGAACACTGTTTTACCATAGATATCATAAATAGTGATTTTAATAAAAAAATTAATTGAACATAGCAATGAGTGTCTTAATGTAGAATGTTAAGATCATATGTATATATTCATAAGACAAATATGTATCGATTTTTTTAGCAAGAAGTTTAACCGGTCTAAAATGCGCACACGGTTGGAATAAGGAAAGAGAACTAGCTGTTGGTGGTATCAGTAAAGAAACCTCTGACGTCACTTCCTCTCCACATGCACACCTCCATTTCCAGGCTGCGGAAGCATCAATCTTAGCTACAGAAACATATCTGTACAAGAATGGTAAGATTGACGCGATTTGGAAAGACATACATTGTATGTTATGAAACTACAACTACATATGCCTTGTCAAAAAAAATACAATAATAAAACCATTCTTTTGTTTGACAAAATTGTAGATTTGCATTGGAATATCTGATAAAGAAACGTGTTTACTAGATGTCAACAGCAGAAAGAATTAAGTATCAAAAGTATTATTTGGATAGTTTTACTGCATGGTACTACAATGGATTAAAAGGTGGTTTGTTTTGTATTTGAAAGGTGAAGGCATTTTAAGCGACCTAACCGTGGATAATTTCAAACAGCTGATGGACCTGAACTCTTTACAGGCAGTTTCCCGTGCTTCCTTAACTTTTGTGATTGACGTCAGCGGTTCAATGGGTAACGATATAAGGAAGGTGACAGAAGAGTGTATCAGTCTAGTAACAGGTGTACAGGGAACAAACAATGAACCAGCTAATTACGTTCTTGCTACATTTACCGATCCAGGTATTGCATCATGTGAATAGATCGATTATTTGACATGTCCTCAATGTTTATTTAAATAGTTTTTGTTCCTTATTGTGTTGATCATGCGCCCCGACCATCAATGGTCCCAGTTTTTATTTCGACCGCTTGGCTACTGATGGGGTATGCAGGCTGTCCAGCGTCCCTAAAATTCCTAAAAAATCCTAATTTTTTTCAGTTTTGCTAAAATTCCTAAAAAGATGAAAAATTCAAAGGGAATTCCTAAAAAAGCCCCAATTTTTCACTTCAGCTGCTACTTTTTTTTTATTTCTTACAATTTACTGAAAATGTTTTCATTAATTGCATACTTAAAATGTGTTTTAATGTAGTCTGTAGTTTTAATTCAGGGTAGACCATGAAAGGCAGTTGACCAGCGGATCTATGTACCCAGATTGTTATTGGTTGTGACTGAGTGACAGAGGTGTGATTCTTAAGGTCACAGCCAACAGCAGCTGGGACACTGAAACCCTGGAAGACACCTTTCCTGCAATTAAGGCATTGTATGTAAGTTTCTGTTTTGTCAGGTAAGTCAGTTTAATGCTTTCATACTCCCTATTCTAGTTACAACATTCCTAATTTTAGCCCTAAATTTGCCCTAAAATTTTGTAATTTTAGCCCTAAAATTAGCCCTAATTTTTTGTCAAGAAGTGCTGGACAGCATTTGCATGATTACAAACAGGTTATTTTGACCTGCAGTCATTTATTTTTTCTTTTTTTTTTTTTAAACATTCACTTTCAGTTTATGCCTAATTCTGATAGGATATTTATTCGCAATTTATTTCCTGTTGATCGGGTTTCTCATGACACCACTAAGTTTCTCGTCAGTGGATTAGTCCACAGGTACTTGCGGGGCCAATTTCAATAGCACTTAAAATAACAAACCGCACAATATCCAAGTACCTGTGGATTAGTCTATGTTGCTGTGCTTTGTCGAAGTTGCCTTAAATATTATATACCGTCTTCATGTGATTTTTTGTACGCTGTCAGAATTGAAGAGTTACCACAATAAGCGAAATAATGATTAAACTTTTTTAATGATATCAAAAGCAGAGCGAAATCATGTAGTATATATTATTATATAGGACATTGGGAATGAAACCTAATCAGTTATTTAATATTTCAGAGGTGCTTACAACTGGAACAGTTGCTACCAGTGGGGATGAAATGATCAATCAGCTTCGTGACCTTAGTGTCACGGGTGGTGGAGATTGTCCGGAATATGCAATGTCTGGCATATTGAAAGGTTCTGGATTTAGTTGTTCATGATGATGATCATCATCATCATCGTCGTCGTTGTCGTTGTCTAGGATGTCAATGTTTTAATATTGTTAGGGACGTGTATTTGCCACATATTTGAATGAATTTAGATATTACACATAATAGACAAGTGAAAGGATTTCTGAGATCAAATTATCGTTAAAACAAGGATGTATCGTTATTCGTTACATTGAATAATTGCATTTGCCCGTTTTCCATTCAAGGAATATTTCTAAGCCGGAGAGGATCGACTTTATACGTTTTTACCGATGCTGACGCCAAGGACGGAAACATATTCATGAATGTGATCAACGCCGCTAATTCCAAAGACATTACAGTAAACTTTCTTCTAACAGGGACCTGTGGTCGCCGTCACCGTCGTACAGGTGAGCATCTAGTAGGCGTAGAGAGATGGATCCTTATGTCGGCGTAATACTGGTGAGTGCTGTAGTGAGCGCCGTATTACCGGCGACTTTTTTTGTCAGCGACGTCATAGTACATGTGAGCATTGTAGTTGGCATCGGCACGGACAGTGAGTCCGAATGTCGGCGTCGCCGTATTACCGGAGATTTTTTTTAGCCGTAGTACAGATGAGAAGTAGTTGGCGTCTCTCAGTGAAGGTCAATGTATCTAAAGAGTCATGCGATTCACTTTTCAGTGTCGCTTTAGGATATACGAGAATATAGTTCCTTATGTAAATTCTAGTGAGACAAGTCTGTATCCATTAATGTATAAGGAATGTGTTAAAATAGAGAGATGATATATATGGTATCTCCCCGCAGTAAATGCGTGTCTCTATAATTATGATGCGTAAATAGCACCAGTTACAATATTTCAAATAATCACTTGTCACTTTGCATACAAATATCAAGATTAGTTATCTGTTAAGTGTTCTAAAACCAATCGTGTCTCTCATCTTTCTTTGAGAAAATGTTATGTCTTTATCCTTTTCTTTACTACCTTTATCAGCTGAGTTCAGATCTTGTTGTTTTATGGAATTTGAATCATCGAGGCACTTTTCTCTCGAACAGTCAGTATTGTCTTCTTAACATTGAATAGGATGTCAAGAGTATTTTTCCAAGAATATTAAATTTATATCATCTAACATGTTGTTGACCTTAGAATTCTCAGTCACATTCTCTTTCTTGACCGTTCCATCTATCAAAACTGTTTGTGCATTTTCAGAATAAATTAAAAAATATGTCAAGGATACTTGAGCTTTTGTCCAGTTGAGTGAATTCTAGAAAATGCTGCTTCGGATTACACACTTATTTGTTTTTCTGTACATGTCATTTAAATTTGCATCATCATTACACATTTCATATCCGTTTTATTGCAAAAAGAAAATGTTGCCGATGAGCTCTTCTGTCTTTCCTACTAATCAATACACTGAGACTTTGAAGATATTTATGTGAAGTCAAATTGAGAAGTGTTAATTCAACTGAATATAATATTGCCATCCATCATACACGTATTTGACGTTTTCCTGAAATTATTACATATATGGGAATCACGAATTTATTGAATAATGGATTAGCTGATCTTCTCATCTGGATTTTGGTATTTCTTTCGATCAATGTGCTCTGAGTTTACCTCAGTCTCCACTTATATTTCAAAATTCCAATCTCAAAAATCTGTATGACACAGTTTAATTCATTAGTGGGTATTACTCTATCTAATTCTGAATTTGTGTTTAAAAGTGCTATCTATTTGTCATTGCCATTGACAATTTCGCTAATGATTTTTAAGTCAAAAGTGAATAATTCATTTGCATTTCAAGCTATTTTGAAACGAACAACTTTAAACAAAATCACTATTTTGTTTACAGATCTCGATACAAATTCAGATCTCCATGGACCAACTTGCATGACCTGTAAAAAATGTATAAAAAATCTGTGTCATGACCAGTGAAGTTGACTGGATTGAAAATCTTCATTAAGATATTTCGTAGCCAAATGCACATTTATGTTACTGCACTTAGCTTTTCACATTTTAAAAATGATTTTTTTATTTAATTTCATGAACCCAGCTAGAGTACGTCGTGAAGTAGGCGATGCTTTTAGGAAGGTAGCAGAGGGGACAGGAGGACAGGTATTCATGACATATACTTCTGTCCTCACCAACACATTGTCTAAAGTTATAGCCGTAAGTTATTTAGTTACTGTTGAAATCATTTAAAGATATGTATAATCTAGTGAAGTGATATTTTGTTTCATCGTTGAAATTCGAAGATTAAGGTCTCTACCACGAACTCGAGTGATTCATTACATTTGAATAAAAACTGGACCATGCTTAGAGGAGTTTATAAGAAGTTTTGTATGAAGTATATATGAAAAGCCATATAAACATTTACATTTACAATTGAAATATTGTTGAATCTAAAATAATTTATTTTAATAACTTAGGACGAAATGCCCTCGTCCGGAATAGTAGTACAGACATTTCATATGTCCTTCAATGACAGTGACCGAAAAGTCGTCATAATCGATTCAACGATGGACTTATTTAAGCTTGAAATCAGCGGTTCGGCATCAGTCAATGACGTTGATGTGGAAGATCCTACCGGTAAGATCATACCAGGACTTTTTACAGGTGTAAGGTTTGAAGGTGGAGTCATCCGCAAGAATACCTAGAAGAACATAATTCTGATATATTGCATACAACCATATATTTTCATAATGCCTTTATCAAGCCTTCGACAAATATTTTTTCTTTCATGAAATTGTGATGATGTTATTCAGAAACGCTTTTTAAAAAGTTATTTTCAAACTAGAGAAATGTTTTATTAAAAGAAATGGAAATTTTAACGTACGCTCGGGTCAAAATTAGGAAACAATTGTTTAATATTGTTTAAATAAAGTTCGTTACTCGTTCTGTTATTCAAGTCTTTGGTGAAAAGTAAAAGTACTTTAACTCCTCTACAAAGTTGTCGACTAAAAATAGACATGTCTATTCTAACCAATAAGGAATTATGATAATTCCGGAACGATACTCTTTAAGATATAACTCTTTTATTAATCTTCATTTTGATGCCGCGCCATATTAATTTGTTTGTTTGAACAAGATGTATTGGAATTCCCTTCGTCCTTTACTGTTACAGGTACCATATTACGATACAAAGCTGGAGTTGCGTCGCGCCATTACAGTGGTGGAAAGGTTATCATATCTGTTCAGGTAGATAAATTTCAGAATTAACTTCAGAGTTACATATCATCCAGATGACAGAACATCTTCAATGTAGCAAATGCAACCATCTTTGTTCCGGAAAAGCTGAAGCTAATCCGTTTCCCATCATTCCTTATATTGAAATGGGTTTTAGTGACTTGCATGTCGTCGGATTACTGTTAATTAGGCTCTTCTTTTTATCCTTGTGACACTAGAGACCATTACTAGAATCTTAGATCACTAAATCAATGGTCACCTATCCTGTTTGAAGTGTAATCTCCACTAACACGAATAATTACACCGATGTCTTGTGAGTGAAATATGACATTTGATTCCCTATAATTTAGAATCCTTTGCCTGGGAATTGGACGATTTTGCGGAAGAAAAATCAATTGCTGGCCGTTAACGTTACTGGATCATCTGTGTTTGACTTTAGTGTTCAGATTACGGAGCTGGATGATGCAGGCAGTTCTTATTTTGTCTATGGGAGTCCAATATCAGGTTTATGCTTTGACTTTGCGCAATTTGCCTATATGTTCAGAAAATATTTGGAAATCAAGACATATTTTTTCTTTGTTATTCAGCATGTGATTTCGATGCTTCCTGTGTACTTTTCTATAGCTATTGTCTTCTATTGAATATATCTTCAACTATTTATCAAAATGCTAAAATAACCATCATTCCTCTTTACATCGAAGTAAAGATTGAAGTTAAGAGTATAAATTCGTGTAAAACTTCAGTGCATTCAGTTTTATTTCTGTTTAAGGTAACAACTACACCATAGCGTTACAACTTTACAATTTAGATGTTAATTCGTCTGTCACATCAATGATACTAGTAAATCTAGCTGGAAACGAGATTGAAAGAATTAAAACAGTACTGCGTCAGACCGGAGTGGACATGTATGTTATTGCTGACGTCATCATGCCCCCGGAAGTAAGTTATAATGATAATTCTTGGAGAATTGAAGTGAAATTTAGGTAAAATCATAAGTAAAATTAGTTTGACTGTACAAAATACACTCAAGAGAACAGTAAATGATAATCGATTTTAGTATCAGATACATTATATAGTCAAATATTTTAATGATTTTTGATAAATGCAACATACAGCCTGTATTTTAGCTATCAAAATTGGCATAAGTAAACATTATGTATAATACAAACTCATATATTCAAATTATTTTTTTGTTAAGGGCGTTATTTCTTTCATATCAGAACGATCAGCGATGATAAATGAATAGTCAATCGTTTAATCATAGGATGAATTTATTTCCAGAGTTTCCGAGTTCAGTTAACGGGAGTTCTTCCTGAAGGAGACAGTTTCCAAAGGACCAATCTGCAGGTTATCTCCCCTGTCAATGTTAAACTAATACTGCTTCCAAACCTAGGTTAGTTTAAAAGGTTCAACTTAATTACCAATATAAAGGGAGAATTCAAGCTAAATTTTTGCTCTGTAACAAATTGATGACGGTTTCGGAACAAGTAATGACTTAATATTATCTGAAAACATTAATCTATCAGTTCAGTTATATTATCCAAAATTGAAATCTTAGTGAACATATTTCAATATTTTAGAAAATCTGTTTAACTAACCAGTCTTTAACACTTCTGTTCAAAAGGCTGAATAATCACATATCAGAGAAGTTTTTGAGTGTAGAAAAATGTCGGATACCCGCTGAATATCTGTATATGGTATAGATATATGCAAATTTATTTCGGAAAATGATACAATATTGTGTAATTTCATTTCATTATTTATAGATGATTTTCCCCTTAATGAGCCACAGAACATCACCTACCAACTGAACAACCATGGGTCGACTAATCAGACATTTGAGGTGGATATTAACACAGAGTCGGTTCGTCAACCGACTGTGACGTATGACATGAACCCTGGAGAGGTCATAGAGGATTATTTTCAAATAACAGGATATACACATTATGAAATAACGTAAGTATAACTATAAACACTTCTGGCAAAACATAAAGAGTTTTCCTTATACCAAATAAACAACAAAGTGGACATCTAACACTCAATGAAAACAGAGAGAAATGGTACATGTATGAAATAATAAAAGATTTATTTGAAATGTCCCCGAAAATATTATCTTTTATTCTGTATATAAATGTAAAATAGATGTAATTTGATTAAATTCCTATTTTAATGATTACTGAAAAAATATAAATTGAATTTTTTGCTGGCATTTTTACGCCTTACTTTTACAGATGTATGACTTTTCAGCAACTCAGCACGATCGACGTTGTCTTTAATAAAAAGAATGATAAATATCAACCATTGACATTATTTCTAGTGGTATCGGTTTGTAAAATTGTTCATGCTGTAAATAAACATATCGCAACATAAAGATCTACACGCTAAAACGTTCATGACTACCTTTTTTCACACGTTTCCGATTTTTCTCAAAGATGTCTAAGCATACTTCCAATTTAACGTATCTGTTTCATACGCATAATGCGAATTGATCTGAAACTACATTTGAGAAAACTCTTATAAAGAGCTGACAAAGAATTTAGCAGCAACGTCATCTCTAAAAATGTATGATTATATTATTGGGATTTACTAACAGAAATATTCAGTGCAAGCATCTTCAATAGTGATATTCGTGATAGGAAAGTACTACAAAAGGAAAATGTGTCGTGGAAGAATAACTTTGACGAAAGAGGGGTTATAAAGGATCACCTAAGGTTATATGGGAGCGGTCCATAGGGGTATCGACTGATACACTTCATAGTAGACCATTCTTTCTTCACAGAACATATACCGTGTCTGTACGACAGTTGGGATCCAGTATTATTCTACAATCTCTCTCTGACACCGTTCTGGTAAGTACATCTAATATGTAGAAACACAATCGTATATATTGTAATTTATATCAAGTAACAACATCGAAAAGTTCTATATCATGATAACAACAAAGATAAAATCAGACATTGGATTTAACGGAAAAAGAGTAGGAACAGAGGACAATAACAAAAATCTCCCAAGTTCCGTTGTTGTATACTTTGTCCTCATTTGAGAACGTGATATTACTTACTTTGATTGACCAAGGTTTTCAAGGCGGGTGTCGTCGATTGAGTAAGAGACTCTTCCGGAAAAGCTGGTTTTGTTCTTCTACTTTTTCAGGAATCTCTGTGTAAATTTCTTGATGGTCCGCTTTACTTTCTTAAACTCTACTGGATATCAAGACCGCACCACCCTCCATCCCCATCAACAACCTTTTTTTTCATCGTGATGATAACAGTTTAAAATTTTCAGCGAGCAATGAAGGGTATTGTTCTAAATGGCATTAATAGTTTTGTTTGAAGTTCATTGTTACCCCAGCTCCTGTTATCTGTGTTACTTTCGAGTAATGATGGTGTTATTCAACGTCTGAGTGATTTTCTCATTTCAAGTTATTATTTGATTTTATTTTTTCTTCAGATAGTTAGTGTTACATTTGTATTTTAAAATAATATATCAATTCACACACTAATGAACTCGTTTACTAAAATAACATTTGAAATGTTTGATTACCATATAGGCCAATTTCTCTAATAGCCATTAACGAATATCATCAACGGAATCTCTTAACAGTAAGGAATGGTATGCAATGTAATGTTTAAACAAGTTATTATCAATCTTTAAAAAAAATGTTTTTTTTTTATCGTTCAGTTTGTGAGTCCAGTTTGTGAGATAAGCTATAACGAAGGTGCGTGTCCCGAGTTGGTCGATCCGCCAGCTACTTGTCGTTCGATCACGTGGTTTAGTCGTGCAGTGCTCTCCCCGGATGTGACATCACTCGAGCTTTCAACTAACCATTCGAGCGTCGAGATTGTAACTGATAACTCGACAGACGACGGAACTAACCTGAAGTATATCAATGTCAGGTATACTAAACTAACATGAAATCGACATGGTTCTTTTAAATTTGTTTTAAATGTTCGTTTGTACCGGAAGCATTTTTAGGTGATGTCAGCATATTACCATTTTGTTGGCATGCTGGTATTCCCAGTATGTTGTGATTCTACAAAAGTTTATCACTTCCTGACAATAAATAAATATAAAGATGGACCTTGATCACGATGAAATATTTTGAAATGAAAATAGAAGTAAAGTACGAATCATTAGACGATTGAGTTTATAAATGTAATTTATGTTATAGGACAACGTATTCTCATTAATAACTAAAATGACCAGATTGCGGTATTATAAATACAGAATAAATATGTTGTATATTGTTTAAAAAAAAACTATAATAATAATCCTGACTATGTGAGTGCGCTCGAGGACGGTATAAACTAGGATAGTGTTCTTAACGTTGTGACGATATTTTTAATACCCGTAATTGTTCAGTCAAACCAGCCATAAAGGTCACTTGTTTATGATAAATACCTGTCTTTAATAGTAACGTTTTCTGATATCCAATGAAATGGCATTTTTAGTTATTTAACTTCTATATAAAGGTCATACTCTGCAGGTGACACTTTTAGTAATCGAAGTTTATCTTTCCGACACAGTGGCGATTGCTGCACACCATCGGTGTATCTGTCTAATATAGGATCTAACGGTCACGTGATTGGTCAGTGCCATTTCAACTTCGGCTCCTTTCCCACCATCACCAATGTCAGTATCATTTTAACGACCACAACGGCCACCAGTGATATGACATCAACTGACATATCGATCGAAGTGAGTACATTTACTATGTACATATAAAATATATCAAAGACCGTTTGAGGTTTTTATCCAATACATATCAACATAATCTTATTCAACCCTCACATGTATATTTCAATATTTTCCGATGGCATTCGTATTGTCAATATAATTTGATATTTATGTTAAAAAGAAGCGATCAGATTTCTAGGAAATACACCTCTAATGCGATGGATTATTACCAGAAATTTTATTTTAAGTATTTTAATGAATCATGCATTTTAATAAGTGTCAAAACACTTTAAGTACTGGGTTGTCTTGTTTTTGCATGTGTTGTGATATGTTTACATGGAAACCAATGTAATTCACAACAACTTCACATTCAACAAACCAACGATTATATTAACATTCTTTTTCCTTATAATAGATAACTCATAACCGAAAAAGTTACCGTGGAGATTGGAACAATCATTTTTATTGCATACCGTTGATGTTCAATTGCCAACAATAATGCTTTCATAAATGATGTGATTTTTGGTACTTCAGAACACACGGTTAGGAGAGGCATATATTCTATTATCTATTAGATAAGAACAAACAGATGGGTCATGACAGTTTGATTATGATTTTTAGAATCATGTAGCTCAGTTTTCACAATCCTTATTAAAACAATTACCGTAATTAAATATTTATTTAAATATAGTCTTTACATCATATGTAATCTTTCAAATGAAATGCATGTCCATGATCATTTTTGCTAACCTCTAAATTCCATTTACTTTTGATCTATCGGTAAGAGTATTGTACGCGAAAATATAGTGATTGTAATTTCCTAAATTTTCACTCTATTCTCTAATTCCTTGATTTAGGGTTTTCACTTCTTTATTGATGTAGATATTTCTTGTAATGTTACGTTTATATCTTTATTTTTACGTTATTATAGTTAATATTAATTGGGCAAATTTAAAACTTTAGTGTAAAGAATATCTGGCACACATTAGATATAGCGATGATGACTTTTGTCAACTATATTGCTTCATTTTCGCTATGAATACGTAATTAAAAACCGTTTCAATTCTTATATCAAATTTTAAAAGACAAGTCCCACATATCAATTACTTTATTAAGAACAGGTTTGCACGATTGTTATAAACTTTTTATTTGTGCTTTTTAAGTGTATATTTGTAAACATGGTGATGTAATAAATGTCATTGGAATACAATCGAGATCAAAACAGAGACTAAGACGTATAATAAATAGTTCAATAATTATGATAGGGTTACTTTCAAGTTCTTCATTAAATAGTAATATCTAGTAGAACAGTATGATAATGTAATGACAGATTGATATGTGGTTTATATTTTGGATTTCTTTTCAGTTGAAGATTGGATTAATCGCGGTGTCAGTTGGTGCAGTATTGATCATTTTGACTTATCTTCTGTGGTGTGCTAAAACGGAGGAGTCAAAAAGCAATGATCCACAGAACAAGAAGACCCTTCAGCAAGAGCAAGACGTATTGTTATTGAAATTTATCCCACTGAAAACTGAAACGAAGTGATACAAGATGCGTTCATTATGTACATCATACACATGCAGTTTGATACTCCGTCATGAAGTCGTTTGAAAATGCAAATGATGACACGAAAACAATGTCCACACTTTCAGTAGCATATACATATACTCTGTACAGTAGTTATCAAATACAGACCAGAATTTTGATCTGTCGATAAGGTACTATAGGAAATCATGGCTGCCTTTCTTGAATAACTCTTCAGATAATCCGTTCATATATAATCATTATTTGTTATGGTTTAATACATAAAATCATCATATAATGCCAAGCATAACAATACTGCATGAATAATATACAAAACATTCCAAAATCGAGGAGTTAACTACTCTAAAATTTTACAAAAAGAAAAGTCATGACAAATGATTATTTCCGTAATATTTTATTGAATTTTTCATAAATGACATCGTGCTATATTATTATACTATTTACACTACTCATGTTCCAAAAATGGGGTTTGTATATTCATTTATTATATTTTATAATAGAAATATTACGATAATAATTGTTTCGAATATAATAATCTTATTTCATTACAATTGATGATGTAAAATTTACTAATGGCCAAAGAGTTTCGCGCTCTCTATTGGCTGCATCTAGTTACAACGCGTCATCTGTTGGTGTACGAAGGTAGAACTATTTTACTGCACACCTTGATTGTACAATCTTTAAATAACATCTAATTTGATATAATTGAAATCATTTTTGGAAACAATTAGTACCAGATGATAGTGAGTGCTGAATTATTTTCATGAAATTATAAAAATGCTTTAGTCATTCTCTTTTGCTTAAATATATCATAAATGAAATTGATCGGTTTCAAGAAGAATATCGTAACGACTTTTTGTCGGTTTTTTTAATGTCCTTTTCGAGGAGAAAATGAAATATAGATTCAGTCGAAATAAGATTAAGACATTTAACAGATTCCGTAAAAATACATCATTATTTTTTCAAGCGTTTGGTAAGATCGCTAAAATATTCGAACCATTGAACAGAACTTTTTAAATTATCAGGGCTTTAAACATTTTATTGCTGATATTAATTTGAACAACATAACGTTTTAAATTATCAGGGCTTTTAACACTTTATTGCTGATATTAATTTGAACAACAGAACTTTTTAACTATCAGGACTTCTAAAGTATTTTAGTGCTGATTTTAATTTGAACAACGAACTGGGCACTTGTATAACTTATAAAAGCCTTTTCCTATCATACATTTACATGAACATGGTAAAAAATGAAACAGGCATTAAACGAAGTAGAAACATTTATACACAAAATCTACTCAGACATGAGATTTCAACATAAAAAAATTATCAAAAATTATTGCTGGATTTGAAGGAATTTTGCACATGTTTAAACAGAAAAGAGGTCAACAACAAGTTCTGAACCACCAAACAAAAGAAGCTCTAAACTTAACTGTATGCCCAAGGCATTTTAATTTTTAATCGTTATACGACTTTAATGTGCATTCCACTAATAATTCAGAATATATCCATTCCTTTTGTATCATAGAAAAAGTGATTTTAATTGGAAACTATTACATATTCTCATGATATTTTGTGTATAATAATGAAACACGTGAATATGTAATAAACATTATCTGCATTATATTTTTGCTTTGTTTCATTTTCCGCAATAAGTAACGTACGAACGTGTTTTTATCTTTTCAATAGACTTTACGAAAGACATACTCATCTGAACAACTGCTTTTCATTACAAATTACAAACCCAAGGCTTTTGACATTTCAATATTTCATTCTTAAATTTTATATAAAGGTATCTATACGAATAAGAAGAGAGGAACAGAAAGTTAACGTACTTTGTCTCCTTAGGCCCGGGACCTATATTGTATCAAGACCACTATAATTGTATCATATAAACCAAAACTCGACATTTTAACCCAGGGATCTGTATTCCTTTGTTTCGAAGATGTTGCGATGAAAATGATTTGAAATATAAAATATAAAATGTCGCATACTATTCACAGAAATCACAGTCTCACAACATCTAGTCTTCAGAATGTACAACGAATGTTCAATAATGTACACAAGAATGTTTACAGTTTACCATTTATTGCCCATAAAGAGAAACGAAATGATTAAACCAGAATTCGTCGAAAACATATCCTGTACGTAGATATTTTACCAACCAGCACCACAGGACTGACTTCCGATACAGATATTTTTTTACTTTCGTCATAGTGATGTCATAGTCATTTCTATGTCCGATTTGAAGCTGGACGTGTTTTATGCTCGTTAGGGGCAAGAAGTTCATACCTTGGTAAAGCAATGTAATACAGTTCCATAAAGTATTTCATTCTACCGTATCTTGGTGCTAAGAAGATTAATCCTTAACATTTCAGTCGATTTGGTCAACTGTAGCACAGTTCATCAGTCCTCTGGGGATCAGTTAGGGTCAGTTGGGAGATGCCATCACATACTAATACTTCTAATGTGGTGTGAATTATTCGCGATGAAAATTCAACAATTTATACTAAATAAAACTTCCAACTGTCTACATAGAAATTGATGACACAGAAAGCCATTAATTTTTTTTATTACTGTACATTTGGCAAAAAAACAAAAACAAAAACAAACAAAAAAAAAAAACAAATGTAAAGTGATTGCAGCCATGTTTATGCGGCAAGAAAACCGAGAAATCATTTTTTATGAGACTGTCTTATTTTGGCTGTCCATTATTCATAGGAAAAGCCAACAGGGACATAATTCGAGATGGTTACTTTCTTATTACATGTAATTCATTTATTGTATTCTTATTTGTCGTTTTAACATGTTTGATTTTAATACTATTGTTTCATTGTATGTATCTACTGTTATATTTCAGTTTGACCTAGTCCTGTTTTAGGTTTTACCGTGATATCTTTTCAATTGCTGTTTTTTTAAATTGAGTTCCTAAAACGGTTTTCGACAAAAAAAATTATCGTTGTTAAGAGAACTGCCAAAGGTTGTCAACTGCACGAATGTGGTAAGGGATGAGACAGAGCACATATATTTCCCAGTTATAACAACAGGTTTCTCTTTACATCGCATATTTGAACAAGCTACTTTGTCCCATTTAAACAAAGGACATTAAGACTATCGCAGATAATGATTACCATATAGAAAGGAACAGTATCAACTTGATGTTGTTGTTGGTGTTTTTGATGTTCTGTCACGAATTGTACGGTGCCTGTTGTGTGGACTAAAAGGGCTGTTCGGATATGTCTTCAGTTTGTCATATACGAAGCACGACCGTCCTAGGTTATAAAACTTGATAAGATTAATGGGTCTCTTCAGAGTAAAGGCAACCATTTGAGATTTGAAATGCATCTTCAAGAATGGGAGCTTTCCTTATCAGTTAAGTTGCGTAGACCCCTTGACTGCTGACTAACTCAATACTCAAGTGCTCTAAGTCTATAAGCTATTATTGTATATCAGGGCTAGTCAGGTGAAACTTTCCTACTCGTATACGATTGAATGATATCAGCACCGTATATCATCAAGCCCAGTGTTGCATTACATGCGTTTATTACTAGTTGGTCAGTGTCGTCCCCTTTTATCTTTGGAATTCCACTTAATTTCAAATAATTACGTCTTAAAGATACTACCTAAGAGCGTCAAATTTTAAAGTTAGATGAAAATTCATATTTAAACAATTCGTTTGATTCAAATGGTAAAATTTTCAACGTCATTAATTTGTAAAAGTCCTCCCCATCTCCATCTCAGTTGTTAACTGCTATATGGAATGCTATTAGCAAATTTCAATACCGCAATCATATATGTTGCAGAATATAAATAACAAAACAATAATTATCTGTTTTTTTTTATCAAATTGATTCAGATTCAAACATTCACTACCAGTTGATCTCTGTCCGTATAAAATTTGAAAAAAATACATATTTATTTCCCTTTTACATTATTTGTTCATCTAATGTAACAGTACACAATTTCTCGGTGTGGCCATGGGTTCATAACATTACCACATTTTAAAGGTTTTAATCTAAATTTAACAAAATAATCCCTTCTAAAATTGGTTTTGTCATGTAGAAATGGACAATGTATGGTTTCATGTTTTTAGATTACTATTTAGGCAGTCTCGAATCTGTGTCTACACACCGAAAACTAGCTTTACAGGAAGTGTTTACATGTCATGTTGTGAAGGTGTTCCGACTTGGAATTTGCTGAAATGTAAGTAATTTGTTACCATAACAGTGTTGTTAATTTTAAGACAGATGTTCACAAAACATTTTTCTATAAAATTGTAGATTTAGGTTTGAATTGGTACCATTTTTGCATTTTTAGCATTTTTGAATTGGTAACCATCACATATTAGAAATAACGGAATATTTTTGATTTATACAATATTTATATCTCTACTACCATTGTTATTGTTATTCAGTTTATGAATATATATATATACGTAAGGGTGTATTTTTATTTTTTATAATCAATGTGCTTTACCTGTATATCTCCAACACGACCTGTGATTTCATGAAAAATGCAACTTAACTATTTCTAGCTACCTATTATGTTCTTTTTAAATATGGAGTTATCCTCCATTTCTATTGTTTGCCGGTATCTTTACACACGTAATGATAAAGCCATTGAATGAGCCGTTTTTTTCTGTAAGAAAAGATTGCTGTGATCACGAAGTCATCAACTCGCTTCATCTATCGCAGCATCATACGGGTCTTTTTCAATGGATACCGGGCAGTATAAGGCGGGAAATCAAACCAGTAAGTAGTTTTATCAATATGAACCATGGGATCAGTAATGGAACGATAGGGGCCGTTCAGGATGGCCCGAGAACATGTGTTAAACCACCAACCACTGCCATGATATTCTGCACAGGAACCAGCGTAGTTATCATTATCTCTGTCGATGGTGCCGAAGTAATTGCCGTTGACGTGTGCCATAGAATCAACTAAGAAACAAAGATACCAAGAAGTTGTTAATCGTACAATCATCCCATAGCAATGTTTTATTGGTAGGAGTAGTGCATGCTAGCGAATATGAAATCATGATAAGCATTCAACAATAGGGACAATTGAACCTTTTTTGTCGTTACAAAGCAGTGCAAATGGCAAACCATGATAATGTGAATAGGTTGTTGAAAACTTGATTGAGAAGTCATTAGATTTTAATCTATAGAAACCTGAAAGTGGTTGTAGGTCATTAATTTGAACAATTTGAACAGACTTCCTTACCCTTTTTGAAGATTTAATACATTCGCCCTGTGGCCTTAAATGGGATTAAGATAAATCTTTTGAACAACTTGTGATAATTCATGCCAAAATTCTGGAAGCCAAAATTAGTATCCTTTTGGCTTTTTGGTTACGGAAAAAATGTCGTTTGAAGGTAAAAGGTGACTACGGTCTACGGCATAAGCGCCTTCCTGAGCTAAAACGATCACTTTGAAGTTACTTTCATATCATCCCAAACTT